TTATTAGTGTCTTTTGCAAAGCAAACATTGTGATATCAGTGAAGTCAAATTTATCAAAGTTATCTTTTATGAATTTTGCTTTTGGTGCCAAATCTAAGAAATTCTTTGCCTAATGGAAGATCACAAAGAATTACTCCGATTTTTTTTTTTTTAGAAGATTGATAATTTTAGCTCTTACATTTAGGTATGGTGCATCTTGAGTTGATTTTCTGTATATGGGATGAGATAACAGTCTAAATTTGTTTTTGTTTATGTTTTTGCATATGATTATATGGATAGTTGTTCCAACACTATTTTTTTTTAAGATTTTATTTATTTATTCATGAGAGACACAGATATATATAGAGAGAGACAGAGACACAGATAGAGGAGAAGCAGACTCCATGCAGGAAGCCCGACATAGGACTCCATCCCGGGCCTCCAGGATCATGCCTTGGGCCGAAGGCAGGTGCCAAACTGCTGAGTCACCCAGGGATCCCCCCAACACCATTTGTTGAAAAGACTATCCTTTCCTCCATCGAACTGACTTGGTAGTCTTGTGAAAAATCAGTTGACTGTAAATGGAAGGATTTATTTCTGGACTTCCATTCTGTTCAATATATCTGCATGTTTGTCCTTAAGCCAAAACCACACTCTCTTGATTACTATAGCTTTATAGTAAGTTTGGAAATCAAGCAGAGTGAGTATTCTTTCTTTATTCTTTATGTAGATTTTATGTACAATCTTCAGGATTTTCTGGGTACAGATTCACATCATCTGTAAATCTGTGAACAGGTTTACCCCTTCCTTTACAATCTGTATATATTTAACTGATTTTTCTTGCCCATATTACACTGGGTAGAGCCTCCAGTGTAATGTTAAACAGAAGTGGTGAGCACTTCTCATAATAAGATAATAAGGGATCTGCCTTATTCCTGATCTTTGTGGGGGAAGGATCTGGTATTTTATCATGTCTCTTACCATTATGTATGATAGTTGTAGGTTTCTTATCAATGTTTTTTTGTAAAGTTGAGAAAGTTTCCTTCTTTCTCAGTTTTTAACAAGTCTTCAAATTTTATTTATTTATTTATTTATTTATTTATTTATTTATTTATTTATTTATGGGAATGTGAGTAGGGGGAGAGGCAGAGGGAAAGAATCTCAAGCAGACTCCCAGCCAAGTGCAGACCCCAAGATCATGACCTGAGCTGAAAGCAGGAATCTGATGCCCAACCAACTAAGCCACCCAGATGCCCCAGTTTCTTAAGAGTAAGAGTTTTAGTTAAAGCACAGTTGTTGGTTAAGCATTTGACTCTTGTTCTCAGCTCAGGTCTTGATCTCAGAGTTTTGAGTTCAAGCCCTTCAATGAGATGTACGCTGGGTGTGGAGCCCACTCAAAAAAAAGTATCATTCATGGTTTTGTTGGACATTTTTCTGCATCTGTTAAGATGATTATGTTTTTATCCTTAATCTCTTAGTATGGAGTATTACATGCTTTCATTTTGGGGTGTTAAACTAATCTTGCATTTCTAGGATAAATCCTTTGTAGCCATGTTGTATAAACTGTTTAATATGCTGTTGGATTTGGTTTGCTAATATTTTAAGATTTTTGAACTTATTGCAACAGAGATGCTGATCTATAGTTTTTCTTTTTTTTTAAGATTGTATTTATTTATTTATTCATGAGAGACCTAGAGAGAGATAGAGAGAGAGAGAGAGAGGCAGAGACACAGGCGAGGGAGAAGCAGGCTCCATGCAGGGAGCCGGATGTGGGACTCGATCCTGAGACTCCAGGATCGCGCCCTGGACCAAAGGCAGGCACTAAACTGCTGAGCCACCCAGGGATTCCCAGATCTATAGTTTTCTTTGATGTCTTTGGTTTTGAAGAGTTATAGAATGAGTTGGGGAGTTGTCCCTCTTCCTCCATATTCAAAAGGAGTTGTGAAAGATTGCTATTATTTCTTCTTTATTTATTATTTTATTATTATTTTTTTAAAGATTTATTTATTTATTTTATGATAGACATAGAGAGAGAGAGAGAGGCAGAGACACAGGAGGAGGGAGAAGCAGGCTCCATGCCGGGAGCCCGATGCAGGTCTCGATCCCAGGACTCCAGGATCGCGCCCTGGGCCAAAGGCAGGCGCCAAATCGCTGAGCCACCCAGGGATCCCCTATTTTATTATTTTTTAACTTCTTCTTTAAATATTAGATAGATTCACCAGTAAAGTTACCTGAGCCTGGACTTTTCTTCATGGGAAGAGTTTTTTTTTTTTAAGATTTTATTTATTTATTCATAGAGACAGAGAGAGAGAGAGAGAGAGAGAGAGAGAGAGAGAGAGAGGCAGAGACACAGGCAGGAGAAGCAGGCACCATGCAGAGAGCCTGACGTGGGACTTGATCCCGGGTCTCCAGGATCAGCCCTGGGCGGAAGGCAGCGCTAAACCGCTGCGCCAGCAGGGCTGCCCCACCAGGGCTGCCCCATGGTAAGAGTTCTAAACCATTATTTCAATTCCTTTACTTGTTAAAGATCTGGTCAGGACTTTCAGTTTCCTCTAAGTCCATTTTGTCAATTTCTTTCTTTCTAGGAATTTTTCCATGTCATCTTAAGTTGTCTTCTTTGTTGGCATAATGTTGTTCATACTATCCTCGTATAATACTTTTCATTTTGTAGGGTCAGCAGTGATGCCCCCTTACACTTCTGATTTTGTTAATATGGCCTTTTCTCTTGGTCAGTTTAGCTAAGAGTATATTGATATTGTTGATCCTTTTTTAAATTGTTCGTCTTTTCTAAAAACAGTGTTATAATTTCCTTGAGTTTTTTTATTCTTTGATGTTCTAGTTCATTAATTTTTGCCCTGACCTTTATTTATTTCTTATTGCTTTCTTTGGATTTAATTTATTTCTCTCTCTCTCTCTCTCTCTTTTTTTTTTTTTTTGGTCTCTCATGTTTTTGTTTTTTGTTTTTTTAAGATGGAAGTTTAAATTATTGATGCAAGAACTTTCTGCTTTCCCAAGTCCTATCTCATCCATTTTGATACATTGTATCCTTGTTTAATTCAGCTTAAAATATTTCTAGTTTCCACTGTGATTTTTCTTTGGCTCCTGGATTGTTTCTAAATATGTTGTTTAATTTTGAAAAACTGAGATTGCCCAACTTTCTTTCTATGATTTCTAATTTAGTCCTTTGTGGCTGGAGAACATACTCTGAATGACGTAAATCCTCTTAAATATATTGAAATTTGTTTTATGCCCTAGTATATGATATAACCTAGAGAACATTTCATCTACTTTTGAAAAAAATGAGCATTTATTTTAGATAGAGTGCTCTAAAAATGTCCATTTGGTTGACAAGGTCATTAAAGTCTTCTGCATCTTTGCTGATTTTCTGTTTAGTTGCTCTATGAATTACTGAAATAGGATATTGAACTAATTGTTAAACTATTTCTTCTTTCAATTCTATGCATTTTTGCTTAATAAATTTTGAGGGTCTACTATTAGGAGTATTACATTTATAATTGTTATATTTTCCTAATGTCTACTATTAGGTGGTATTATATTTATAATTGTTATATTTTCCTAATGTATTTAGCTTTTATCATCAGTCTGACTGCATCAGTAGAGATGCAGAAAGAGGAATAGGAAAATGTTGACAAGAGTCTTTATTGTGGTTTCCATAGGAAGGAATGAGTAAGGCCGGATAAGCAGTCTGAGGATTGGCTAGTTTGAATAATTTCAGCAGGCTCTGGGGGCATAGGAGTATTCCCAATTGTCTGGTATCTGGCCCTGTGGCGATTAGAGAAGGTAGGTAGTGGATTGGAGTGTGAAAGTCCCATAGAGGAGGTGATTGGGTGTTGGCTCTGGATTGGTTGGCTTGTATATGAAAGGCACACTTGCAGGCAAGTTGTTTGCTATCTCTGGGAATTGATTAGCCCTGGGAGGGGGAATCCCTCCAGGATCAGCAAGGCCTCAACATGTCAAATATCAAATACAGAAACTAGAAAGCACTGTTATTGCATATTGCTCCTATCACATGCCTCCATTGCTGGATGAGCTCAGGGAAGGGTTGAGAAGTGAGAGAGGAGACCATATTGCCTTGGCATGTTTAGCAAGGAGACAGGAATCTGATGAAGCATCACTTCTAACTTGATCTTCATCCCAACTATTGTCCCCCCTTCCCTCTCTGCACATCCCTCCATTCCACCTCCCCTGCCACAAGTATATAAATAAGAAAATGAGACCTAGCATTTACTGAGGCAATATCGTGTTATTTCCCATTATTTCAATTTGGTGGGCTAAAATAAGGCTTCTTTCCTGCTCTGTTCTTCTTCATCATGGTAGAAATGAATGCAATCCAGACTGATACAAATCTGGACTCCTGAAAAGAAATAACATTGCCCCTGGATCTTCTGACTCAAAAGCTTTAGACACAAAGAATGGATTGGACAGAGACTGACTACTTAGTTATCACCTCTTGGAAGAGGAAATAGGGATTTTCATATTGTTCCACTCTTACAAGTAATCATCCAGAATTCCCTGAGGTTTACCCCCAATAAGGAAACATCTAGGATGAGGAAAGTGTTTAATTATGATGTCATACCTTTCCATTTCATCTCAGGCTCCAATACATTAATAAAAACATTGTCCTGTACAGGATGTTTGAGTATAATGATTGACACTCCACACCCCAAGCCATAGTTCTGTGCACTGATTTACACTTTTGACAATTGGTATTGGAAAGAGATGGTGAAGGTAGGGGGAGAAATTGCTAGAAATGCCTAAACCTGAAGGTAAGGCACTGGTGGTGGCATCAGCCCATATTAGGACAGTGCTTGTACAAAGAAGTAGCATAAAATCAGAGATCATAGCTGAGTCCATTTCACTCTTCCAAGATTAAAGTGATGGGGCAGGGGGATGAGAAGGTTGGATAATGGGAGGAGAGCTCTACACCAAGAAACATTCTGAAGTTCATGGCCCACGAGCCAAGACTCAGCTGGACAGACTGTATCCTTGCCAGGGGAGCCTCAGATGTTCATTGTCAAGTTGATGAACTAGAAACAAAAAGGAAAAAAAAAAGAGAAAGTGAAGAGTTGGTTATTCCTCTACTCCCCTACCAGCCCTGGTTTGTTTATGTCACAGCAGTTCTGCATCCAATCATATTGCCTATAAATATGGACTTCTCCTTCAACATGAAATATTTTAAAAAATGATTCCAAGCATTTTCAGTTTTCCGGAGGCCCTGAGCTCTTTCTGAGTTAGCTCAAATCAAGTGCAGATGGTGAGAAAGAGAGTGAGAGAGAGAGAGAAATGTGCTTTCTTCCTGGCAAAGCAGACAGCATTCCTGAGGCACCTCAGGCAGGACAGTACTGGACTTATGGGGGAATTTAAAAAATATCAATGCTTGGGCCCCACCCTGAGAGATTTGGACTTAATTGGTCTGGCTTATAGCCAGGCCATTGGGGTTTTTAAATCTCCTGAGGTGATCCTAATGTGCAGCCAGAGTTGAGGATGATGGGCTTGAAGGGAGAGAGAGGGAGAAGACTCAAAGTTTTGTCCAGTTTTGTAACTCACAGTTCTCCATGTTTTAGAGGTGGACAACTGTGAGTTACAGTGTATCCAGGGATCTGAGATACACATATGAGAACATTGGTGATGAGCCCACACAGTAAATGGCCAAATTACATGATATTTTTAGAAACCAAACTTTTGGTATAAGATTAAGGCCTTGATCTCTCTGCAGATGGGGAAACTGAGGCACCGAGCAGGTGAATTGACCAAAACCAAAGCACAGAGGGGAGGTTCCATCCCATTTACTGCACACCTATCAGCCTCTTTATCTTGATGGTCAACAAAGTGGAACCCAAATCCCAAGTTGTTACTGAATTTGGAAATGAGCCAGGGTTTGCAGTGTGAAAGTGGAAGACAGTGGGGAAGGGGAAGAGCTCAGAGATGACAGGAAGGAGACATGGGCTGCCAGCTTTGCAACCCTTCTGTCTGAGGAAAAGCAGAAGTGGACAGGAAGTCATGGAGCAAGAATGGGAAAAAAATGGGCTATAGAAATTCTGGGAACCAGCAAAGGAAGGTGTTCCGTAGTTTCCTCCCTGCCTTTGGTCAGAAGAATGTCTAGCCAGCAATCTCAGACTTTAGTATGTGTAGGAATCATTGGGGATCCTCCTAAAACAAGATGGGATTTAACAGGTCTGGATGGGGCCTCGTACTCTGCATTTTTGTTCCTTTGCATGATTTTTTATTGTATTTATTTTATTGACTTAACTGATGTATAACACTGTACAAGAGTGAGGTGTACAATGTGCTGATTTGATACATTTATATATTTCAATGTGATTGACTAACACCTCTTTCAGGTCACATGATTATCTTTTCTTTTTGTGGCAAGAATAATTAAGATGTAGTCTTTTAGCAACTCTGAAGTTTATAACAGTATTGTGGACAGAGTGCACTATGTGGCACTCTGCATTTCTAACAGTTCCCCTAGGTGACACCCAGGCCACTAGTCCACAGACCACACTCTGGGCAATGGGGAGAGGAGGACGGTCCACACCTGGGACGCCTCTTCCAAGCCTCTGAAACTCGGATCCTTGTGCTTCCCTTCATCACATTTGCTGTGGTTAGCCTTGTAACTGGCAAAAGTTGTATCTTTCTCATGGTTTTTGAGGTGTGTGCACACGTGCGCATACACACATGTATGTGCATGTGCAGGCCCCCCTCCCCCGAGGATCACAAGACCCACATGATAACATGAGCAAGGGGAGTGCACAAATAGGGAGCGAGAAGGCAGGCAGGCTAAGGAACCCATATGGCAAAAGAAAGAGAAGAAGAAGGCAGGTTTTGCTTGCTCACTCTGTTCCAGGTGATTAAGCACCTTATGCCTCAGTTTCCACTTCTGCCAAATGGGGACTCTGTTAACCCTAAGCTCATAGGAGTATCGTAATGATTGCATTGGCTGCTGACTGACTAGTACCTAAAAAATATTAGCAGTTTCATTGTTGTTACTACGCCCATGGCTAAGGGTGACCTTCGCGTGCATTCAGCAAGCATTCACAGAGCAGGGCTCTGCGTAGCCTGGCTGGATCGTACCTCATTTATGTTCAGATGAATGAACTCCTCATCCTTGTCCTTCGTACTGAGAGCCTGGAACACCCCTAATAGGAGAGACACAAGAAAGGCATCATTGTGGGGATGGTTCCTTCAACAGGTTTCTTTCTTTCCCAGTGACCTCGGGGCCTGCTGGGCAGCCCATGGAGGAGCTGCTCCATCTGGTGGTAAGCAAGGATCTTCTAGAATGGCCGGCCTAGACTCAGACTGACTACATGGGATTTTCTGTCGCTTGGTGGAGGTTCTTGAATTCCTGGGATGGCAGACCTGGTGGCCTTAGCATTGGGTGGCACGTGCTGTCATCTACAATACGCCAGTCAGCCAGCCAGATCCTGGACCCCAAACATTCCCTCTATGTTAACTTTTCGGGGAGCTACAGAGCCCTTCTTTTCCACAGGCCTTCTCCCCAGAGAAAAAGCACATGTGCATAAAATTTTTCATAAGTCTTGAAAGCTGTTCAATCTCTACAAGTCCCTGATGAGCACTGTAGGTGCCCATACACGTAGGTGGAGCTGGGGGAGGACAGGAGCTGGCCGGACACCACAGCTGACGCACTGAATAACCTGAAAGTTACTTTCCTCTCTGGACCTCGGTCTCCCCATTTAGTTAGTGGCCAAGCCAGGCAATCCTGGCTTCCCCTAAGAGTTACACAGGAGTTTTTTTGTTTGTTTGTTTTTGTTTTGTTTTATTTTTAGGATTTTTAATTTGTTTATTTGATGGAGAGAGAGCACACGTAAGAGAGCACAAGTAGATGGAGCGACAGGCAGAGGGGGAAGGAGAAGCAGAGCCCAACTTGGGGCTCGATCCCAGAGGACCCGGGGTCATGACCTGAGCCAAAGGCAGATGCTTAACCCACTGAGCCACCCAGGCACCCCAGGAGCTTTAAAAATATAACGAAAAAGAGGAAGTGGCTGCCATAGAGCAAAAGAGACAGAACCCAACAGCCAAGTGCAGCAACTAGATCCCGAGACGAGCAGGCAAACGTGGAGAGATGGCCTGGGGATGTTCAGCGTGGACCGGGTCTTAGATGATGTTGAGGGCTTACGAGAATGTTGTTGGGGGTGCAGACGGCATGAGGGCTGGGTTGGATAACAAGCTTGCTTGTTAGAGATATTTACAAAGGAAAAGACTGGATTTCTGAGCTTTGTTATCAAATAATTCAGAAAAAAGTACTTGTTAGAAGAACATACAAAAGATTAGCAGGATGATAATTGTTGAGCCCGATGTAAGGCGCTGGAACTATCGGGGGGACTTTTATAAACATCAGTGCTGCTTGCCACTCCCTACACTCTAACGGACTGGCCTCCTGTCCAGCCTGGTCATCACAAAACATCTTTGACTCCCCTTCCCCTATTTTGCCTACCCCCCACCCAAGGTCATCGAAATTTTTTAAAGCTACCGTAAGGGGTTGTAATAAGTGGCAAGGTTTGGGAACACTGGTGTGGGGCACACGGGGACTAATTGTTATTCCTTATACTTAGTTGTATGATGGGACACCTGGGTGGCTCAGCAGTTGAGTGTCAGCCTTTGGCTCAGGGCATGATTCCAGGATCTGGGATCGAGTCCCACATCGGGTTCCTACACAGAACCTGCTTCTCCCTCTGCCTGTGTCTCTGCTTCTCTCTCTGTATGTCTCTCATGGATAAATGAATAAAATATTTTTAAAAAATCAAGAATCAAAAGTTTAGATAATCCTGGGATAAAGCCCTAGCCTTGGTATTTTAAAATGTTCTCCAGGTGGTGAATGGAACATGAAGATCCTGGAGTAGGATGGTGTTAAGACTAAAGTGACTTTTCCTTTATATTCCTTGAATATAAGAACTAGTTTGTAAGAATTAGCTGAGAGCCCCCTGCCTGGAAGGATCAGGCTGAGGGGATTTAGAAAGGACAGGGACAGTTGAGAGCAGAGAAGCCAGCAAATCTCATTATTTCTAGGTCAGTTTTGACCACTGTGTCGAACTTAGAAAGCCCCTACCTTTCACGAGGGCCTTTCTAAAATGCACCTATTACTAACTCATGGTGACCACCTAGAGAAAGCCCAGCCTCCTGGCTTGGCTGTATAAGGCCTTTTGCACCACTTGCCTCTCTCAAATCATCATGATTACCCAATACATATGCCTCACATGTCCACGAAGTGTGACCCTCCTGGTGATTACAGGCTCAACAGGTAATCACACATGTTCTAAGTGTCACAAAAGTAGAGGGAGCTCTGGCACCAGAGATCCAAGGAGCATGGACTCTGCCTTGGCTTAGCAAGTGCCTTGGGGTCACTTTGCAAACATCCTTTAGAAGATCCCAGACAGGATGACTCCATCATTTGTGAGGCCCAGTGCAAGATGGAAATGTGGGATCCCTTCTTAAGAAGTGATTAAAATTCAAGATGGTGACACCAAAGTGTTAAACCAAGCATGGGCCTCCTCAGGGGTGCAGGGCCTGGGCATTGACATATTTTGCTCCCAACCCCCCATCCTGGATGGTGCTGGGTTCCAGGCCCCTAGATGTGCTTCACTGAGCTTCCACTCTGTGACAGTGTGACAACAAACTACAAACTCTAAGGACCCCCCTACACATAATGTGTCTTTTCTTGATAACTGGGTCAGCCCCTAGGGCTTACAGAACGCAAAGGTAGGATGGAGAGAGGGGGAGGGAGAGGGAGGGAGAAGTTGGGGGGAAAGAGGCTCTTTGGATTCTATGTGCTATGATGGATTTGACCCCAAATGGGACCTTTCCTCAGATGTGAGGTGGGAGTACCCCCTCCACCTGGTCCTCCTGCAAGGACCCTGGAATGTGCCCGCAGAGAATGACTCTTAGCAAGCGGAGTGGCCAGCGGAAGTGTGCTGGGCTCTAACCCAGAGTGGTGGATGAGAAGACTCCTAAGGACTGTAGGCAAAGACTCCGCCCCCTCCCCCCCCCCCCCCCCCCCCACAGCACAGAGGTCACCACACAGCGCGGCTCCCTGGCCTATTCTCCCAGGATTTCTGGCCGGCTGTCTCTCACCCGCTCCTGGGAGGGAACTGAGAGGACAGGGACCCTCCCCCAGGGCCCAGGAGACACAGCCCCACCAGACACTCACGGCTGGCATTCTCCAGCCGGACCAGGCAGTTGAGGAAGTCATCGAAGGTCAGCTGGAGGCCCTCGTCCGCGTACCTGAGGACAATCAGCTGCAGGAGGTGACAGCCCAGCTGGAAGCCTGTGGGGAAGGGAGATGAGAAACGGCCTGTCCAGGCTGGGCCCCACGGGGCACACCCGGTCAGTGCTCTGTCAGCAGAGTGTGGGTTCCCGGGCACAGTGGGAGCCACTGTCCCCAGCATGGATGCAGCATGGCAGTGTGTGTCGACGTTAGGGGGGCTGCTGGTGGACTCGTGACGTCATGCTCTTGGTTTTGACATTCACTTACCCACGGTCTCTTGCTGACTTTTCAGGAAGCCTCACTTGGGAAGAACTTAACACTGAAGGGTGTCTGAGCTCCATCCCCGCCTTCCCCTGCCTCCATTTCTGGAGAGCATTTTAACCCAAAGATGTTGAGGGTTCTAGAAATCGTGTTTCTAGAAGGTATGCTGCTGCCTACAGTGGGTGACACATGGTGCAGAGTCCCCTTCACACACCCAGGCTGAGCCAGGGGTGGTTTGCTTCTCTTCTTTGGGATTCGAGTCCTATGGGTTGGTTGAGGGCTTTAGACAGGTAAAGTCACTTTAGATCCAATATTTAAGGCTTCGATGTCTAACTACATCCCAGGGAATGGCCTCCCTTTGGCTTCAGTCTACGTGCTCACATTCCAGGGAATGTTCAGCATACTGCATAGAAGTCTCCTGGGTCTGTCCTGTTCCTCAGTTCCATCCCAGACAGAGAGGAGGCCAGTCAGGCACAGAGGGCAGTGTCTGGAGCCAGCCAATAGCCAGTTGTGGCCGATGTCCCAAATCCTGGCATCCGCTCTCCATGGGGTTGGAGGAGGGGAGAGCAGGGCACCCCTACCCCCCATGTCAGGCTAGTGAAGACCCAAACACACCCTCCTCTCTGCAGGGCTCCCTTTGCTCTCTGCTCCGTCCTCCTCTCCTGGATATAGGACCCAAGATGGTCCGGATTTTAGACATTCTTTATCAGACCATGAAGCTGACAATGTATCCTGATGTTTGGCTCACCTGGGAGGAAAGCAGATTATAAACTCTGGCAGGGCCCGGGGGACCTGGGGTGTTTTGTGAGACACACCACACAGCTTGGCAGGGGCTGGGGGCTGCAGTGGCCTCAAAACCACGACTGTGTGCAAAAGACCTCAGAGCCCCAAAGACTCAGGTGGCCACGGTAGTGACTGCCAGGGGGTTGGAGACACCACCTGGATCCCATCCTTCGTGTACAGAGCTGATAGGAACCATGACTGAATCGTCTGGTTTGGATTCAGTCTGTTGGTGACAAAGCCAGGGACAGAGCTGCAGGTGGCAGAGGAGCTCAAATCAAGGGATTTGAGCCCGAATCATGGGATCAGGCTGCCCTTCCTCATCCATGATAATCATCACCTGAAAGCAGCAATTAGAGGTTTGGACACACTGGGCCTGCCACCACAGGGTCACATGTGCTTCTGCTTGGTCAGAAAACGTGGCCAGAGGCTGGAGAGGGGGTTGAGCTACATTCACCCTTAGTGGATACATTTTAAAGCTTCCTGCCAATATTGCACAGTGGGTTAAAACATGGGCCTTGGCATGAGTGGGTCCTGAGCCTGAGGCCTGGCTCTGGCACCCACAGGGCTGTGTCCTTAAGAAGCATGAACTGCATGGTTCACCGAGGTCAAGGACTGGCCAGCTTCCAGGGCCTGAGAAGCAAGTGGCTGCCCACAGACAGTACCTGGCTTGTAAGCAGCCCACGCCGGACATTCAGGCTGTGCTTTACCTGCGGCTTTCAGGGCAGTCCGCAGCTCGTAGGAGGACATGGTGCCAGACTTGTCCGTATCGAACTGATGGAAAAGGTTCTGTGGGAAGGAGAGGGTGTTGAGAACAGGGGGAGGGCAGCCGAAGGCGTCATCCGTGGCAGTAACTGCACGGCGCCAGCACAGGACGAGAGGCCTCATAGGGCCTGGCTGCATTAGGCCTTTTGCTTTCCTTCTCATTTTGGAGGCAAGCACTGTGGCACTTTCCTAAGCATGAGAAGGGAACCAGGGAATTCCATCATGAATCCTTCCCTCCTGCCCTTTCCCTCGGCCACTTAGAATCCCCTCCTGCTCTCGGCTTGTGCGATCCCCAGAGGCCATGGTGCTGGGTCTCGTACTGTCCACTTCTTCAACTTGTCCCAGAACACTTTGAACTCCTTGAACTCCAGCTTCCCATTGCCACTGGTCTATGCCGAGCACGTCAAGGAAGGAAGAAAGGAAGGAAGGAAGGAAAGAAGATGAGCAGGGTTTCAAACTAAGGTGCCTCACAGGACTTTAGGGATGGGAGGGTAACAGGCTGGCCTTGGGGACTTGTAACATGGATTCAAGGCTTCTAGGGAGGGTGGCTTAATCATCAAACCACGCACCTCTGAAGAAGGGAAAAGGCAAGAGTGAGGTGGGGATGGCACCAGAAGGTTGCAGAAAGTGCATAATAAAAACACACTTTCTTCCCTTAGCTGGGACCCCAAAGTGGCAACAAGACCCCCAAGTCCCTTCAAAAGCATTCCCCCCACTGGACAGTCTGTGCCTCTTGATTCTGTTCCAGTTCTAGGGGCTCCTTGGTCTTTGGATATTCTCTGGGAAAAAGGCTATCCTGCCAGTTAAGGGTGTCACATCCTAGGAGGGTCTGCACAACAGGAGAACACAGCTCTTTCTGCCCACGGATTTGGAAGGATACATCCATTAGAGAAATGATGTTTTTACAGGAAATCAGGCTTAGCTTCTTGAATTTGAGGTCCTTTTCTGAAATCACACAGGAAAGCAGAATTCATCTGGATATGTGATAAGATAAACCTATTCCCGGCTGCTGAGAGTCCAAGGGTATGGTCAGATCTGGAGCTGGTGAGGGGGAGACAGGCTCACTCTCAGGATGCTGGTGAGACAAGAAACTGACATGGCCTTTTGGGAGGAAAATTTGCAAAATATAAAAAAATGCCTTAAAAAATGGGAATATCTCTCCATTAATTTATCCTAGTTTTAAGAATCCCGAGCAAAGAATTACAAATTAATTAAGATCTTTATCATTTGATTATTTATAATGGCAGAAATTCAGAAATGACATAAATGACCAATGGAAGGGTAGGAGCAGCAAAGGTTATATGTACAGGATGGACTGTGACACAGTCCTTAGGAACCATGTTTTTGAAGCACATTTAATGACCTGGGGAAATGATCATAAAACATCAGTTTAAAAGGCAGGATTTGAAATTACTGAAGAAATTTGAGCATTCACAAATGCTCATGAAAGAGTCACTTTGGAAAAGAGTCGGACAGTTCCTTAAAACAGAAAGTATAGAGTTACCATGTAATGCAGCAAATGTCTTAGGACACCCAAGAGAGGTGCCCACACAAATAACCCGTTCACGAATATTCACAGCAGCATTATCATAACAGCCAGAAAGTGGCGATAAATTGTATGTCATCTGTGAGGAATGGGGAAACAAAAGCTAGTGTATTCCTACAGTGCAGTATTATCAAGCCAATAAAAGGATTAAATTAGTCCTGGCAAATACTACACCGTGGATAAAGCTTGAAGACGTCCTGCTCAGTCAAAAAAAAAAAAAAAAAAAAAAACCAGTGGAAAAAGACCACCTACTTCATGGGTCTTTCTATGGGAAAAGTCCAGGGTAGGCAAGTCTGTAGGGACAGGAAGTAGATTAGCGGGTGCCAGGGGCTGGGGGAGGTGGGGTCTGACTGCTCCTGGGTACAGTTTTTGGAGTGACAGGTTCTAAAATTGGTTGTGGTGATGGTTATACAATGTTACGAACACACTAAAACCCGTGATGAGTGAACTGTATAGTATGTGAATTATATCTCAAAGCTGTTAGGTTAACAACTAAAATTGTATCTATAATTTAAGGACCATTATTAGGTGTGTGTTCATATATACACACTGAGAGACACACACATACATGAAGTCACACACGCACATCTTAACAGTGGTTATTTCTGAGTGGTTAGATGATTGGTTTTTGTCTTTGTCTTCGGGCTTCTCTGCATTTTTGTGGACTTTTCTACCATTATTGGCATCAGATTTGTAATCAGGAAATAAGCAATGAAAGCTATTTTTAAAGTCTACCTAAAGTCAGCCCTGGAGAGCAGGAGGCTTGGGATGCTGGAGGAGACCCAGTGGCGTGAAGTCACAGGTCACACGGCCCCTCCATTGGAACCCTGGGGTCTCCCATGGGTGAGTGGGTGGGTGGGGGTGGTAAGAGCACTTACTCTTTTGCAGCACAGCATTTAAAATATATTCTAGTTCCTCCGCTGTCACCTCCATATCCTGTTGAAGGGGAGACAATTGCTTTTTACGGCCCTCAGAGCCTTCTTTGTTACTTGCTTCCAGTTCTGAGCTTGATTTGGCTCAAGTCACAAGCCCGGCCCTCGAGGACCCGGCTGCCAGGCCCAGGTGCCCATCTCCTGTGACTTCAGTCTGCTTAACTTCTCAAGGACTCACATGCCCAGCCCAGAAAGGATGGAAGAACTGGGCCAAGCGAGGCAAGCTTCCCCACTCCCTGAGCTCAGCTCCCTACATGGCGCTTCTGTTAGAGGGCCTTCATGTCTGGGTCTCCAGGCCCCTGCATGCAGAACATCCCAGAGAGTATTAAAAATATCCCCACTGGGGACTCACTCCAGGGACCATTTCAATCAGGAGATTGGGAGGATGTCCCATGGATTATTTTCAAAACCTCTAAGGTGAATTCAGAACCACTGATCTGAGGCTGTCCACCAAGTCCACTAGATCTCAGCACCCACGGCCCTTAGAAGCTTATCAGAAATGTGGCGCTCCCGGCCCTGCCCCAGACCTCCTGGAGAGGAAATCTGCATTTTTCCAGGATGCTCAGGAAAGTTTTATGTGCATGACTATTTGAGCAGCACGGACCGAGGGCTCCTTTGCATCCAGGGTTTTGATCTACTGGTGCAAAACAGTCTCCTGTGAAGTTATTTCCACATGTGCCCACACAGGGTCCACCCCTGAAGCTTCTGAGGCTTGGGGGATGGGGTTGGGGTGTTCATCCCTAGAGGAGAAATTACAGATGCAGCCCCAGCCCCCATGGACCAGAGCAGGCCTGACAGGCAGAGCCACTTGCCCAAGTCATGGGGCCAGTCCGAAGAAGAGCAGGACTGGAACCAGTGAGCTCACTCTACAGGTCATTAATAATGTTTGAAAGAATCTCCTGCAATATTCCTTCGCCTCCTTTCCAAACCCGGATCTTCATTTCTGGGAACTTCTGTCACTCTTCAGCTGTGAGGAGGCCCTCACCCTGGCCTGGCCTCTAGCCGGTGCCCAAAGCTGGAAGTTCACCATTCCTGCCCCACCTGCCCTCTCTGTCCTGCTGTCTGCCCTGCAAAGAGCAGATGGCCACCTTGCCTGCTGTGGCTTATACAAAGTCACACGAATCCCCATTTTTTTGCACCCGGAGTGCTGTGCCCAAGTCTCCCTGCCCTCCTGTTTCTTACACCACCCGAAATCCCACCACCTTCTGCCCCCAGGTGCAGGCAGCACACCTCTTTTACAATTCAGGAGCCCTGAATGGAGTCATCAGCACCCGCCACAAAAGGATTAATCAGGCTGCCAGGGAGAATGGGTGGGGCAGTTTCTCCTGGGGGCAAGAGATACCCAGGGCTCCCAAGAGTGACCAGGGCCCCCAAAAAACAAGCTGACAACCGAGCAGGCAAGAACGGGGTGGGGGCGGAGGGCAGGAGGTGAGAGACAGATTCTCTCCTTCCCCCGTGGCTGGCTCTGGCCCCAGTGGCCAAACCTGGCCAAAAATCACATTTGCAATTTCATGGTGACGTCCTCCAACAATGCCACCTTCCACTAGAGCAGAGAGAACATTCTAAAGGCAATGGTTTGTGGGCAGAGTTCAATGAGCCACCTCTGCAAAGCTCTCTCTAGCTTTCTGCAGAAAGCCCCCAGGGCCTGGCTTTGGGTGTCCCTGCCCCACCGATGGTGGCAAACTGGCATGCGGGGGCGGTGGACGAGGCAGTCTGCAGAGCCTCCCAAATGGCCGGGCCTGGTCTCCCATCGGATTTAGCTTCACCAGCTCCACCAGGCCTCTGGGAAGTGTGGCCCACAAATACCCTACTGCATCCAGGGGGCAGAGGAAACCCGGCCCCCCAGCACTGCAGGGGTCAAGGCCAAGCGCAGCTTGCAGCCATCCCTACCTCCCCAGCGATTTGGTCAAACAGGGCCCGGAACTGCAGTTCCTCCTCCGTCTCCTGGCCGGCTGGAGTGGGCTTTGGAAGCTAAAAAGCAACCAGAGGAACTTGCATTGGACCCACAGAAGAGAAACTTGGCATTTGCTTTCCCCAAGAAATAGCAAGAAAAAAGAGGCCTGCAGCGGAGATGGCGCATCCTGGCGCATCCTGCGGGAGAGGCTGGGACCTCACTCCGCCAGGAGGGCCCTGCTCTGGCTGCTGCCTAGAGCATTAGGCTCACTTGGGCAGGCTCTTTAGATGGGAGTATCTGGAAGGACCAACGAGGGGCTTCTGCAGATCACAGTGCTAAGGGAGGCGGAGTCCTGACCTAGCAGGGGTCCAGCCAGGGTGCTCAGGGCTGCCCGCACCTCCTCTGTCTGACCCTCGCCACTCTCAACTGTAATTCCTTGCTGAACCATGTGTCTTGACAGATGGTGAAATCTTTGAGGGCAGGAGTCTGTCTCTGGCAGGCAGCCCTGGGTCTAGCACATGGAGAGAGCTCAGCAAACGCTTGGGGTGTTGTGGTTTCGTCTTGTGCAGATTGGTGCTGCCTTTGGAAGTGTCAGACTGTCCCAGTTACACCTCCGCACCTCTTGAAAGTCTTCCAGCCCTTGGACGAGTGTAAGACCCACCCCACTGCTCCCTTATCAGCACACATATTGTAGGGAAGAAGTCGGTGCTCCTCCAAGTCCAGTGCAAGAGAATCTACTAGCCACTCTCACTTTCTTCCTGCTGATTTTTCTTAGACTACATGCATTTTAAAGACATCCCATCCCCTTCAGATGCAGCAGCCACCTCTCCGGGAACAGAGCCAGTTGGTGGCACAGAAGAAAACAAAAGCTCTAAACAAAGCTTTCCTCAGAGCACCACGCTCGTCCCTACACTGGGTCCTGGTGGGATGTGAGAGACTTAGAGGTACAAGACTTGGCCTCCAGGAGGCTGGAATCAAGACCTACCTGATTGCAGATAAGCCATTCCCTGAACCTCAAAGTTCTGTAGGACGCTGTGACTGAGGAGGCTTTCAGGACAGTCACAGAATCCCACCCTCCAGGGTAACGTGAAGGAAGGCTCACCTCTGGAAGGTCAATGTCCACATCTCCATCCATGTCCCTGGAGGGCAGAAAACACGCTGGCTCTCTTGGGGATTAACTTCCTCCCTCGGATCTGCAGTCCTCACGGGACCAGAGGTATTGGAAGTTTCTGGCCCATTGAAGCCCTTCTTTTTCCGTGATGTTTACATTCCACAGGGCCTTGCAGACCCCCTGCACTGACCTCCCTCCATCTCCCCTATCCTCAGACCCCGCCCAGCATGAAAAGAAGAGGGAGGCAGTGTAGCCGCCAGCCAAGGAGAACTCGTAAGTTCTGGACTTCCAGAAGTAAAAGAAACTGAACCAGCTGCCACCCACTGTTTCCTGGACGCCCTTTACAAGGGCTATTTATGAAGTGTGACGTAGGATAGCAGAGCCCCAGAGGGCCCACCAGCCCAGCAGATTCACCACATACTCCCCATGAGCTCTACATCCCCGAAGGAAATTCAGTTCCTTGGATACGGTCATCCTGTCTACTGAGGGTGGATTATTTCTGGGGGAATTGAAAAAGATTATACAGCAAGTTAAGTCAGAACTTAAAATTCCCCCCAAAGCTCCAGCCTTTATCCTTGGTGCCTCCCTGAAGGTGTGTGTCCCTGTTCCCACTGTGGGTGTTGGGAGTGGGGCAGGCTCTGTGTGTGCTCATGTCTGGGGTAAAGAGCACAAACAATGGAAATGTTCATTTTCCTGTTCATATATTTAGGGGAACCTGCAGTGTTTGGGAAGTGGTAATTTATTGAGAGGAGAAACAGGCTTCTGCTTTTGGTGATGCTAAAACATTTGGAAGACTCCATCCAATCTTACAGAGTAAACATGAAGCACTCCTGAGAAAAAAACGCTAAAAATTCAAAGGGAATACCAACAAGCAAACGTTAAGATGGAACGGGGCTAGTTCGCCCCTTCTTCCTCATCCCCTGGGCATGCACAGCAGAACACTTCCAGAGGTTTTTTCCTATCATTGTTTAGGATCCTCTCATGAGGATGAAGCTGATGGAAATAGAGCTTCGTGTGGTTCTTCAGTCACTGAGCTACAGAGTTGGTGCTTATGCTCCAGATCACAGCAGATTAAAGGACCGTGTGTGCATGGACTTAGCTTTGCCAAGTGTAAGCATCAACGGAGCCCCAGGACTCTGACCGCACCCCGATACTGGGACAGGGAACACGAACTGTGTGAGGGCCTCAGCCTGGCTTCCTCCTCTTATCCTTGCCACCCACAGGAGCTGCCAATCTGTGTGCCTCTCGTATGGATGCTTTTGTGTGAACAGATCCTGGGAAATTCATCCTCAGCTTGTACCAGTGTCTCGGAGAAGATCAGAGAAAAAGCCTCCAGCAGAGTTTTTAACAATTAAAGATCGTATTGCTTCTATTTAGCTGAGGAGAAGGAACTATGCTTTTTGTCATGAGCTTGGGAAACCCAGCCAGACTGGACAACTGGGAGCATCCTCAGTGTCTACCACCAATCCAATCCTATCCCACTAGACCAAAGATAAAACCGGAGGCCACGAAGTCACAACTGGCTCCTTCTTGTTATGGAAGGCTGGTCCTCAGTTGGGGGTGGATCCAGCTCAAATGCAGAATGAGCTGGTTTTGCCATTCTCTGTGCTCTCTAGAATGTCTCTATTGGGAAAACAAGCGAATGCGTGTATCTTCAACCATTTTTTTTCCTCTGCCCCAGAGAACTGATGGCAAAAAGGCAGTAGTGGGAAGTTTTTCATAGAAGTATCTAACACAAAATAATTCTGCTAAGGCACTGCAAAGGGAAAGTGGTAGAATGTGGGGCAGATAAAACAGAAGGCAGCCTGTGTAGTTTAAGCACCGACAGTTTGCTTTTTGGATTGTAATGTAAGTGCCTGACATTAGGTTTTTGACTGTCAAGGCATCCAGTTCAAAGACATCCGTCTCAAATAAACACTGCCAGCTATATAGCTAGATACAAAGCCCAGCCACCCTACCATCAAGTTCCCTCTTTTTTTTTTTTTTTAGAAAGCTCTAGTTGACCATTTGATCCACTGCTTACTTTTCCTTCAAATACTTTAGTTCCTGCTTTTATGTTTGAAGTTCACCAATAGTGAACCTGTGAAACCCTAGGCCCCTGCCCTCGACCCCAATAAAAGCAGAACTCTAGGCCTGTGAGCACACACTCTCTCTCTCTCTCAGAATCTCATCAGGATTTCTGTGTGGCCTTAGGTATGCTGTGTACTCTCCAGAACCTGTAAGTAATAAACCTCGTCTTTCCAAAGTTCCTTGAGTTGGGCACCTGGGTGGCACAGCAGTTGAGCATCTGCCTTTGGCTCAGGGTGTGATCCAAGGTCGTGGGACTGAGTCCCATATTGAGCTCCCTGAAGGGAGCCTACTTCTGCCTCTGCCTGTGTCTTTGCCTCTCTCTGTCTCTCATGAATAAATAAATAAAATTTTTAAAAAGTTCCTTGGATTATTGCTGAGATGCATCTTGTAATCCTAAAAAGATCCACAAGGGTCAGTCTGGCTTCAGCATTGGCTCCAGTTGGGGAAATGTCTCTGGAGGCTCACCACAGGCAGTACAGGCGCAGGTGAGTGCCCTTAGGCATTCCTAGCCGGTGGCATTGCTGTCCATAAGCTGAGGCCAACCCCAAACAACCTGGCAACATTTATTTAAACTAAAGCTAAAGAACAGGTCATTCTGGAAACTTGAAACAGTCCCCCCTTCACTGTGCTCAAAAATAAGTCTCACACTTCTAAATGTGGGTCCCACTCCAGAGGTTTCTTGAGAACTGGGTCTGAAAAATGAAGGGCTCCACCCAAGAGGATCTGGTGAGACTGATTCTGGGAGTGGTTGGAGAGGGTAACTTTTCAATGGCTTTTTCCGGGGAGGGAATGAGCAGAACCAAAAAGGAAACATATCCCGCTTTGCAAATGGGTTAAGAAACTCTCCTGCCTGATTTCTTAGGTGGATCATAGAGAAGGGAAGAGAGGGGTCATAGCTCCAATGGTCCCCTGTGACTTCCCAGAGACTGAGCCTCTAAATGAAGAGGGATTCTTGAACCTGTTACTCACCGAGTGATGGCTTTCTTCTCTGAAAAGATCCTCAGGCAGAAATCAGCTTCCTGATGGGGCTCAAAAGTGCTGGGAATCAGGATGTACTCCCCAGGCGGCAGCTTGAAGCGGTCGGAGACTTCTCTCAGGTTGATGAACGTTTTGCTTCTGGCCTGGGAAGCATGGTACCTGAAGAAGTCTTTGTTCAGGTGCTCGTCTTTGCTGGGGCTCTGCAATGGGAATGTTCTATAAGGAGGGCCGTTGGTCTTGGGTATTTGGACACAGGTGGGGAACTGGCCATTGAGTCTTGGGCATGTGGACGCTCACCACTGGAGGTGGCAGGCTCCAAAGAGCGGCTTGGGTTCTACCCACCTGGTAAATGGCATAACCAATGGTCAGCATGTCAGCTCCAAACCTCTTGAGTTTCCTTCGATCTTTCTGCATCAGGGCCACGAGGAAAGTGCAGTCCTCTTGCCCCTCATCTTTCTCAGTCAGGGACAATTTTATTTGTGGATTGGTCCAGAAGGTGTCTGCCATTTGAAAGAAGTGAATTATTTCATCTTTCTTTGAAAAAAAAAAAAACACAAAGGACATGCATATGCGTCACACACACACACACACACACACACACTATCCACCTCCACCACATCCTCCCAAACCCAAGAAAGTCAATCATTTCTTCTCTCCCTGTTCTGATGGCCCTTGTGCCCTACTTCTTGTAACCCCAGTGAGAAGGCCAAGTGTTCCCCTTTCATCTCCCCCTTCTCTTGAGCCATTTCCCACTCAGTTTTTTAAAGACAATCTTCCATATCTGTGGTTTATTCCATATTATTTTTCCCACGTGGTATTTCAGAGCAGAGTACGGTGCCCTCATGGCTGGGCAAATTGAACAGAACCACTCCACACTCAGCTCCGAGGGTAAATGCTGACTGGTTCACCCTAGCTCCTCTTGCTGTGGACAGTTGGAACAAAGCCAACCAGCCCGCAGCAGACACTAGGCTATATGGGTTCAAGGAATTCTCAGGGAGAGGGAAGTTGAGACTTCCATTGGGTGACCCCAGGAGATATCGCTATGCACACAAATGAGGGCTTACGAAGCACTGGGTGCTGCTGGCAGCCCAACCGTGACTATAAGAGGACAGAGGAGAGAATTACAGACAAATGGGCTGACCACACTATGCCTGAAGCGCACCCTACTTCTCCTCTGAGCTTTCCAGTCATGAAAGGAAAAAATCCTTTTTATTGCTAAACTCATGTGAGTTATGTTTTCTATTACTTGTCATGGAAAATAGCCTGAGTGGCTACACAAGAGTTTCCCTGAGCAATTCTTATCCGACTTGCTGCAACATCTCTGTAGCCCTCACCAGCCATCCTGGAAATCCTACTCATTCCACACTTCAGGCTTCCTCTAGCGTCCTGGCCCTGACCCCCTGATGTACCCCAGGCTGGACTGGACACTTGGCAATGACAGAGAGTGACAGGCAGTCTACCAACCCAGGAAATTGCGGCAGCCCCCGGCCGTGGAGCCCCGCACCCAGCTTCCTTGATGGACGGTCACCTCCCACTTGTGGAGGGCATCCTCCTCCAGGGCATCAGGAGTGAGGTTGCAGATTTCTACTTTGTCAAAGTGGGCCTTGAAGTCCCTAAATGCCATCCTGCAACGAAGTGGGGAGACACCAGACATGGGAGGTGATAGTGATGCCATAATCCGTTCGTTCGCTTAATCATCTAACCAGCCAGTGGTGAGTGCCTGTGCCCGCCCCCAATGATGGGGAGAACACAACGGAAAACACACTGACAAAACTAAGGAGAACCCGCTCAGGGACTGCAGCCCACCCTTTGCATCTAGAGTGGGATGTAAGCAAGGGTGTGGAGGTCAAGGCTCTCCGGAAGTGGGAGTATCTCCTCTGATTTGTCCTGTCTTTCCTCTTCTGCTGGTTTCCCACACATGGCTGTGTGACCCCAGTGGTTGGTGGAGCCACACAGAGGAAGGGGCTTGGGTCCCAGAATCACTGCATGGAGAGAGCCATCCATGGAATAGGGATGTCCTCTTGGACTGTCACAATGAATGAGAAATAAACTTTATTGCATTTGAGTCTTTATCCGTGTTAAGTCTGTTTGTTACAGCAGCTGGTGTTACCCTAAGTCATTGGTGTATGGAGCCACCATGACCGAATTCTAAAACATGTGCTATCAGCTTAGCACTGGGGCAGGTTTCAAGGAAATACTGGAGCTGGAAAATAGGTATCCATGTTACAAATGGCAATATATTTGTTAAAATTGTAAAAATATGGAGGACCTCACTCCTGTGCTCCAGGGGAAAAGGATGGAAAAAGCTAGAATATTAGTGAGTGCTGGTTTTTGCTTGTTGTGTTTAATAAGGCATAGAAGAAAAAAGTGAGCTCAGATGAGAACTGACTGGTTTGCTCAGCAGGGAAGAAAGCCGGACATCAGAAATGTGTGGTCTTGCAGAATTGGAAGAGCCAACTGTTTTCTGGACTGCACAGGAAGAAAAAAGATCAAAAAAAGCTTCCAGAGACGAAGGCTCATTAAAAGCTCACAGTTAAGCAGAGAGATTCCACCCTGTAGAAATTTTAGAAATTCTATTAGGAATGTTTCCTAATAAACTTAGTTCTATATTTTTGGATGATTTCAAGGTCGCTGCCTTCAGGGGCCCTTGTCATGAGGTTGGACTTCAAATTCACCATGCAAACTGGGAGGATGGGTCTTCAGAGGAGGGCTGCTGGGCTGCAGACTCAGGCTCAGCCCCATATTCATTACACATTCTCTGCCAACCTGGGTGCCCCTTATGGGGCTTGAGACAAATGTATTTGGTTTACCAAAAAAATCAAACAAATATAGACAGACAGGAAGCAAGCAAGCAAGCTAAGGGCTACAGGGCACGCTCATACCTGTTATGTAGTTAATACAGAAAGGAAAATGAGATGAGCACTGTACCAGAACTCCCCGTCATCCAGAGCCATGTGACACAGGCGCTTCTGCTCAGCTGGGCCAACGGAACGCCACTCGGAGGAGCTAGGAGTGAGCAGAGTCAGCTCAGACGACACTGGCCTTGGCCAACAGGAGTGTCCCCTCCTGAGGAGCCAGGGTAGCGACCAGGTGGGGAATGATCCCGGCCATGCCCACTCCCCGGGCCCCAGAAACTTTCCAAGGGACCTAGAGGCTGGTGGGAAAGGCCACATCCAAGGGCAGCTGATGTAAAAGGTCCTCGGGGTCATTTGATGCCCCTCCCTAGTAGGACCATCACAGGATGCTGAACACCAGCAAGGCAGCAGACCCTTCCAACTGGAAGCCAGAAGTGGACTGAAATGTGTGCCCTGGAGCATCTCCTGATCTCTCCTTTTCATTTGTTCTGAAAACTGATAATAATATCTTATGTTTGCTTGGGCTTGACACTTGACCCCCAGGTGAACTCGTTAGGAAGCCGCAAGGGTACCGTGTCTCTGTGACCCCCGCAGCCACCTCCACACAGTTCACGCTGAGTCACCACCGACGTGGCCACCTCATCCACACCCTGCGGATCTTGACCCAGGAAGGACCAGGGGAAGCCCCTCTCCATGCCCCGCGCCAGGGTCAGAGCAGCAGAACCGAAAGCTGTCACCTTCCAAGTGGCTCACAGTCAGTCCATAACGGGCCTGCAGAGCCAAGAGCACTCTCAGCACTTCCCTCATACGAGCGGGGATGGGGATGGCCGGGGGTGGGGGGGTAGGGGTGGTGTGAGGATGGGGATCAGGATAGGGACACGCCCTCCGGCACCCCTGAGGCTGAGTGGGAGCCCGAGGCAAGCTCACCTCCAGCCTTGACCCCAGGAAATGCACTTTCCTTATTTCTCTCTCTTGTCTTTTTTCCCAGGAGAAGGAAACAGCGGCCCTCACCCGTCTGCACACTGTATTCTCTAAATTGAAGGACACTACAAGTCTGTATGATACAAAGCAATCTCAGGAATTCTGATTTCAACATTTCTGTTCTTCCCATTGCTGCCAGGAGAGGGAGGCCGATCTCTTCCCTCCTGTGATGTTGTCTGGAGTGAATCCATCTCTGCCAAAGCCCCTGGGCTCTGGGAAGGCGAAGTCGATTGGGGGTGGAAGGTGGTAGGTCAAGAGCAGTGAGGGGATGACGAGCACCCCCGGGGGGGTGTGGTGCACCCTCAGACTAGAGTAAGGTTAACAGAGACACAGACACACTGATGATGGGTGACATGGTGACTCTGTTGTGATCTGAGGACAAACACACCTCAAGTTCCTTTACTCAGGCTCTAGACTGGCTCCAGGTGCCCCAGAGCCCCGCAAGCTGTGAGCAGGCAGGGGTGGGACAGCAGGACCCCAAAATCCCAGAGTCCTGGCTGAGGGAGGAGGCAGCGTGGGGGCAGGCCCTGCCCAGCGCATCTGAACATCCCCTGATCCTAGCCACCTGGGATATGTCCCAAGAGATGAGGAGTGGACACACAGCTGCAAGGGGGACCTTTCTTTACAACTGGGGGACCAAATAAATAACCCTGGTTGACGGTTCTGTAATGGATGGATTTCCTGTTCCATTTCCTGTCTCTCCACCCAGCCACCAAGCCTCTGGACAGTGTGGCCAGTGACTTAGCAGAGAGAATCCTATAGTGACCTGCTTGGCAATATTTCAGGGATTCTCACACCTCAAATACTCATGGCCTCTCCCCCCCCACCCCCGACACACATACACCCGCACGAGCGCACACACACACACACACACACACACACACACACACTGCACTGGAGCTACTCATCACTGGAAAGAAAGCCTTTCACCAATCACAGGGATCTGAGAGTTCCCCATGGGAGGAGATACATCCCCAAACATAAATATAATTGGAAAGGTTAAAAGCTGTTATAAGGGTGTTCAATGTTGACTGCACGGTGGGCCCGAGGGCTGCAGAGGGAGGAAGGCCACCCAGCAGCAGGACCATCCCCTGAACGAGAGCGAGGAGGGAACTGCAGACAATGTGCTCCTTCTTCACATGCCCCCAGAAGCCAGCCTCTGTCCCCTGTGCCCCAGGAAGGCAAGGAGGCGGGGACGCACCTGTCACTCCAGGACCCGTTCCACTCAACCTGGCCCCAAGGGTTCCGGACTCGGATGAGCTCCATTTTCTGGCCTCGGAAGTTTACCTAGAGGGAAAAAAACAGGAGGGCAACGTGGAAAGATGCATTCATGCGTGAGCTCCGGGACACACTTCATCTTCAGCCCTGACTGGCTTTACTAAAAGCCTCTTGATGACAACACACTAAAGGCATGTCAAAATCATCAATTCTTTTTTTTAAAGATTTAAAAAAAAATTTATTCATGAGGGACACACAGAGAGAGGCAGAGACATAGGCAGAGGGAGAAGCAGGCTCCCTGTGGGGAGCCCAATATGGGACTCGATCCCAGGGCCCTGAGATCACGACCTGAGCCAAAGGCAGACGCTAAACCACTGAGCCACCCAGGAGTCCCTCCTTAATATCTTACTCACAAATGAATGAAAAGTATATAGGCACACGCTGGAAATTTAAACAACAATAAACAAAAACCACTTCCAAGTCTTCTGAATCAGTCTTTCCCCCTTTCCAGGTGTCAGGTAAGGATTTCTGCTGTCCATATGGAGAACCCTTGAGCCAGTACAGAAAGATGATTCAGTCGTGCCCCTCATGCTCTGCCCCAGACCAGAAGGGGCCAGTACATTTCAGAAAGATTTTGGAGGAAAGCAAGTGGAAGTAAAAGACTTTTATTCATCAACTAAGCAGAAATTTTAGCTCAAAACACTTTATCCTCATGTATTGGGCTCAAATTATATTTTTGATGTGTAAAAATTTAGTTAGTATAACCTCTCCAGAGTCCAGGATGCAGCTTGCAGCTCATCATTTAAGATGTTCATTAAGTGAAATGTACAGATGGAGAGAAAGGAAAAGCAATTGAACAGATGTGAAGGAAGTTTCTATTACTGGAAATAATATTTGAAAGATGTAACATTAAAAAATCCCATGCCTACTAGGGCGCCTGGATGGCTCAGTTGGTGAAGCATCTGCCTTCAGCTCAGGTCATGATCCTGGGGTCCTGGGATGGAGCCCTGCATCATTGGGTGGGGGGTCCCTGTTTAATGGGGAATCTGCTTCTCCCTCTCCCTCTGCCTACCCCCCTGCCCCCACTTATGTTTTCCTCTTGCTCACTCACTCTCTCTCAAATAAATAAGTAAATAAATCTTTTTTAAAAAGTCACATGCCTACTCAAGTGGGTGACTGACAAGGCATTATGGGCAGGGAAGGAGGTGGAAAAGAGTCTATGCAAATAGTTCAGTTCTAAAGAATCCCATTGCATCAGCCACCCTAAATGCTCTGCTCACAATTCCCTGGTGAGGAGGCACAACAGGCTTCCTTCTAGCACCCGTTACTCCCCACTCCTCTGGACTGTGTTACTCAAAATGTGAGCAGCCACAAGACAGACCAGATGTACCTGTGTCCTCTACAAACCGTTTGAGACTTGTGTCAACTTGGCTTGGCCACTGGCACCCAGATACTTGGTTATACACTATTTTGAGTGTGTCTGTGAGGGTGTTTCTGGATGAGATTAGCATTTGGATCAGGAGACCGAATAAAGCTAAAGCAGATGGCCCTCCCCCGTGTGGCTGGGCCTCATCCGATCAGCTGAAGGTCTGAATAGAACTCGAAAAGGTAGAGAAAGAATTCACTCTCTGTGTCTGGCTACCGAGCTGGGACTTTGGTCCTCTTCTGCTCTTAGACTGGGACTTGTACCATTGGTTCTCCCGGTTCTCAGGCTTTTGGCCTAGAACACGACCGCCAGATTTCCTGGGCTTACAGTTTACAGATGGCAGATCATAGGACTTCTCAGCCTCCATAATCATGTGAGCCAATTCCTCATTATCCATCCATCTACCAGTCATCTATTTATCTACCATCTATTGATAGCTCATTGGTTCTGTTTTTTAGAGAACTCTGATTACCCCAGGACTGTTGAAGAATTAGGGGAAAAGAAAAAAGGAAAGAAAAGAAAAAACAAAGCCCAGGCTCTCACAGCAGCTAAACAAGGTTGGTACTGTGGTGGAATCACATGTTTCTCTCTCTGTCTCCCGTTTTGCTCTTTTGGATTCCAGCCTGCCTCCTTTAGATGAGACCTTCTCTAACATGTCTGAAGATATGGTTTAAATTGTGATGCACTAAATAAGTATAAGAGACTAGAGATGCTGAGTCTACTCCTGTACCCCATCCACGGGGGTTCACATCGCCTACCTGGTCAATTCCTGTCACACTGTAGGCATGGCCCTTAATGAGACCAAAAGGCGTCCGGGCTTCAGATTCTGCTGCATTTCTGGTCTAAAATGTGAAAAAAAAAAAAAAAAGCAGCAATGGACTCATTAGGTAAGTCAAGTCTTCCCTACCTGCCCAGACCCAGCTCTGTGCCTGGCCCGGCCCCTTCTGCTCCCCCAGGTGAGAATCATGTGCCTAAAGCATCTAAAGACACCCTTAAGCTGATTAGTGACATACAGCAATTCCCAGTCTCTTCCAGGGTGAGGAGACCCTCATTCCCAGCTCAGACTCCAACGAAAAGTTTACTTTTTTGCCCCCAAACAGGGTAAGTTGACCCCACTCCCCATCATGTAGGACAGCACAAGAGAGAAGTATGATCCCGTACACCAAAGAGAGCATAGGAAGCATTTAACAGTATCACATACAACTCTACGTCACAAATTTGAATGGATAATTTAGTAGCAAAGAATATATTCCCAAGATTAATCCAAGAGAAAACAGAAATCTCAAATAGGTTCTAAGAACTAAGTGAGGTAAGATTATATATATGTGCATGTTTGTATGCATAAAAACATTAGAGAAATACTGTTAGATTCCTATCTACCGATATGAAGGTTTGTAACGATATACGAAGTAGAAAAAAAAAAACAACCCAAAGTTTCGGAGAGGTACAGAGTAAGACTCCATGTAGGAAAATCAAACCCGTCTTCTCCCAGGTGGTGTGTATATGTGCATGCCTGTTTGCACGAGTAAGGAGGGGGTGTGAAGGATGCACGCTGGGTGTCACAGGGCTGGGACCTGAGGAGGGATACCAAAATATGCCTTTATAGATCCAAGGATTGTACTGTCTGATTCAGTGAGTATGCCCTAACTTTATAATTTAAAAAACATTAAATTAAAAATGTTGTTCTAATGAAAATAAATAAACATCGACACCACTGCAGTCACCTGAAAGTCATGCTCCTCCTGGAGCCGGGCCAGGACACCTGCTGAGGACAGCAAGAGGCATGTGAACAGGCAAGTGACTTACATCAATGGAGCAGCCCACCAGAGAGCCCCTCTTCAAGGCCTTCTCTAGAATCTCGTAGAAGTTCTCTGGAGCCTCTTTAGTTGTGAAGGTCTCTGCTACACCCCCCGTGAAGTCTTCCATGGCCTCGATGGTGCTGCCCCCCTTCAGAGCTTCATAGCTACCGTTCAGCCTGTCAGGACGGCAAGGAAGCACGGACGCCGCTGCAGGGAACAAGGAGGGCCACCAGGTGGCGCCCCTTGGCCAGAGATTTTCTAACTTTTTATTATTTTTATTATTATTATTAGAGTGCCAACATATATATAGCATAACACCCAGCGCTCATCAACTCTAAGCAGCATCTCTCCTGGAGGTGCCCTGGGTTGGGTGATGTGGAAGATGGGGAGCAGGGAGGCACCTGGCTTGGAGCTCCCAGGACCCTGGGCTCTCTCTGGGATAGCCAGTGCCAGGTGGTGGAAACAGCTGGACCTGTCCTTGACTGGCCACAGTTCCAAGTGCCAGATCCACAACTTATAAACTGAGGGCTCTGAGGACAACTCACTTACCCAGTGCTTCAGTTTCTGAATTTGCAAGATGAGGGTGATGGGTGTATGCTCCCTCCCAGGATTACTGTGAGGTGTGTTTGTTGTTGTTTGTTGTTTGTTGTTAAGATTTTATTGATTGATTGATAAGAAACACAGAGAGAGGCAGAGACACAGGAAGAGGGAGAAGCAGACTCCCTATAGGGAGCCCGATATGGGACTCGATCCCAGGACCCCGGGATCACGCCCTGGGCCAAAGGCAGACACTCAAACTCTGAGCCACCCATATGCCCCTGCTGTGGTTCTGTCTCTGTTTCTCTTTTTCCCTCCCTCGCTCTTTCTCACACAAAACAGGGAACAGGGGTTGACCGTGAGGGTGTTAGTTATCCATAGACTGAGACAAGGTTGAGTATCTTTTTCTTCCTTTCTGGACAACTCCCAACCATTTTTCCCCTCATAGTTGTCTTTTTTCTTAATATAAGTTGTTTATACATATATAAGCATTATGCTTGAATTTTAAAATAAACTTTTCTGTTTAGAACAGTTTATAGGATTTATAGAAAAGTTTGTAAATAGTACAGGTTCCCATATACCCCTCACCCAATTCCCCCAGTGTTAACATCTTTCATCCGTGTGGTACACTAGTTATAGTGACGGAGCCCAACCATTGTTATTATTAAAGTCCCTACTTTCTTCTTTTTTTTAATTTTTATTTATTTATGATAGGCACACAGTGAGAGAGAGAGAGGCAGAGACACAGGCAGAGGGAGAAGCAGGCTCCATGCACCGGGAGCCCGACATGGGATTCGATCCCGGGTCTCCAGGATCGCGCCCTGGGCCAAAGGCAGGCGCCAAACCACTGCGCCACCCAGGGATCCCCCCTACTTTCTTCTTATTTCCTTAGCTTTTACCTAAGATCCTCTGTTCCAAGAACCCACCCAGCAAATCACATCACACTGAGTCCTCGTGTTTCCTTAGTCCCCTCTTGGCTATGGCAGTGTCTCAGATTTCCCTTGTTTTCCATAATCTTGGTGATTTTGAGGAATACTGTTGGGTGTTTTGTAGAATGGCACTCAATTGGGATCTGTCTGCTGTTTTTCTACTGATTAGACTGGGGTTATGGCTGTAGGGAAGGAAGACCACAGAAGTAAAGTGTCCTTCTCATGACGTCGCATCCAGGGTCCATGCTGTCATCATGACTTATCGCCGTCGATGGTGCCTTGAGCACCAGGTCATGTCCGATAGGTTTCTCCCTTATAAAGTTACTCTCCCTCCCCCTGTCCACACTGTCCTCTTTGGCAGGACATCATTAGTGCAGCCCTCCCTTAAGGAGCAGGGGGTTTTCTCCACCTTAAATTACTTGCAGTTCTTCTATATGGAAGACTTACTCTTTTCCCCAATTTATGTATTCAGTCATTTATTTATATCAGTATGGACTCATGGATATTTACTTTGTACTTTGGTTTGTAAGCCAATGCCACTTGACTTATTTTATTGCTCAAACTGTTCCAGCTCTTGTTACTTTCAACCTCTTCAGCTGGCTCCTGTGTACCTTTGACATAACCCCATCAGTGTGTGTGTGTGTGTGTGTGTGTGTGTGTGTAAAACATTCTCTCTCATGGTACATCTTGGTACTACTAGATGTTCTAGGCTCATCTTGTGAACTTCCCACCCCAGTCCTAGAATCAACCTTAACTCCAAGGATCCCTGGTTCCTTTTATTGGAAAAATAGTATTAGAGACCAAGACCCATGCAGTAGGGGTGCTCGTTGCTGTGGGGTTGCCATTCTTTCTAGGCCCTCTCTGTGGACACAGTGAGGAAATGATATGTGTACATTGACCTAGTACAAACACCTGTATCTCTATTAAACAAAACATGAATTCTGAAGGCTCCTACCCTAAGTAATGACCATAGGCATCATTCTAGCCTCCTTCACTTGCTTCTCTGTAACCTCCTTCCCAACAGTGAGAAACCTAGCTCCACCACCTGCCATCCATTCTCCTTAATTGTTCAACTCTGTATATACATATAATGGTGTCAGAATTGTTGTCCTTGCCCCTGTGAGAAGCAACTTAATCAGCCTGAGTAGAATACTTGCGTATGATTCCTTTTGATTTTAATCTTACAGACCCCATTCATGCCCACAGCTACTCAAGTCAGCTCCCTTTTCATCCTGCCCCTGCAGTGAGTTTGTTGCATAAATTTGCAATGCAGTTAGATGAAATGCATGATCAGAATTTCATCCTGGGATTCCTCATCCTTCTCGATGATTTTTAAATCTTCATGTATTGAGCTTCATTCTTTGTGCTGTAAGGTTTTATGGGTTTGATAGATGAGTGGTGTCATGTATTCACTATTACAGTGTCATATAGAATAGTTTCACCACGCTAAAAAAAGATTCCTTGTGCTCCACATATTCATCCTTAACTCTGTCCTTCCCTCCCCATGAGCCTCTGGCAACCACTGATCTTTTTACTGTCTCCATAGTTTTGCCTTTTCCAGAATGTCATATAATTGGAATCATACAGTATGTAGGTAGCCTTTTCAGATTGGCTTCTTTCACCTAGCAATATGCATTTAAGATTCATCCGTTTCTTTTCATGACTTGATAGCTCATTTTTTAAATCACGAAATAATTTTCCATTGCCTGGATGTACCACCATTTGTTTATCCATTCGTTTTGAAGGACATCCTGGTTACTTCCAGTTTTTGGCAATTATAAATAATGGCATAATAAACATTTGTATGCGGGTCTCTGTGTAGACATAGTTTTTATCCAACTCATTTGAGTAAAAGTAACTTTTTACCAGACTCATTTACCAAGGAGTGGGATTGTTGAACTATTAGGTAAGACTACGTTTTGTAAGAAACTGCCAAAAGGGCTTTCAAAATGGCTGAACCATTTTGCATTCCTACCACGAATGAATGAGAGTTCTGGTCATTGGAGATGACCAGTGGTCATCTCCATTGGTCATTGGAGCAAAGATGCTCTCCATCTTTGTCAGCAATTGATGCTATGTGCGGTGGTATTTTGCTATTGTTTTAATTTGTAATTTCCCAATGACAAATAATGCTGAGCATCTTTCCATGTGCTTATTTGCTATCTGTAGAACATTTTTGGTGAGGTGTATCCCAATTGTTTTTGGCCTCTTCTAATGACTAAAAATAAAGATTTTCTTTTTAGGAAACTTATTCTTCACTCTTTGGGTAAATACCCTTCATTTTCCACTGGATCCCACTGGCTGGGATCCCTGACCCAAGCCATTTCCACTGCTGCAGCGGGAGGATGTCCCTGGGCTGGGGTAACCGACGATGGAGCCATGCCCACCCAGCCCTGGAAAGGACAGGTGCTGGAGAGGCCCTGGAGAGGATCTTGCTGAGGTCTCCTGGTGGAGGACTCACCACGAGGCAGAGCTGGGGCTGGGTTCCCTGGCTGTGCCTATGCCCCTTTGCCCACCTGGAACCTCTCAAGTGGCTCTGAGGGGGTGGACGCAGATGAGCATGGGGGGGTGTTGCGCTGTACACCTTTGGTTCTTCTTTGATGGCTTTAATTCTGCTGATTACAAGATTAATTAAACCTCTGTTTACCTTCTCTTAATTTTGCCACTTGCCAGAGTTAGAAGCACAACTGTTCTTCTCAGCTCCCATCTCTGAAGACAGGGTTCCCATGGCTTAAAGATCCAGGATGAGCCCAAGAGGGACTCCCAGGGTAGCTCTACTGTCAGGTGAGTACAGAGCTCAGGCTACTGTGGCCTTTTGCTGACAAGCTGAGGGCCTACAAATCAAGAGTGCTGGATGGAACTAAGGTCATGTGATAGGTGATTAAAAATCACTGTCTGGATTCCACATACCCTGAGCTTCCTCAGCTCATTAAATCCACAGAGACAGAAGTCAGCATGGTGGTTGCCAGGGACTGGGCACGGGGGGGATGGGGAGTGGGAGGTTAGTGGGTGCAGAGTTTCAGTTTTCCAAGTTCTAGACGTAGATGCTGGTAAGGGTTGCACAGCAATGTGAATGCATGCAATGCCACTGAGCTATACACTTAAAAGTGATTCAAGTGGTAAAATTTACCAAACAGACCAGATGTTGGAGTCATGACAGTGCTTGGTGGGAAGTTGGGAGACCAAGTCTCTTAACACATCTAGATTTTCCTCCATCTACCCTCCTAGCTCTTTGGAAGGCCAGACACAGGAAGGACATGTGTTGCCACTACAACCAAGGATTGGCACAGCAAGGCCAGGCCAGTAAAACTGTCCGGTGCTCCTAACTACCCTCCAACCCTGGCTGAGCCCCAGGCCTATTGGCCCCATTGGGCTACACCTGTGAATCCGGAGCCTCCAGGTCCCTATTCATTGAAGCTCTCTGAAAAAGCCCCAGGAGTGGAGACCTGCTTCGTGGACAGAGCCTGCCCATGCAAGGGGGCACTCACTTGGCATAGGCTTTTTCCAGCAAGGCACTCCAGAACTCACTGTGGTCAGCGGAGTAGAGGAAAATCAAGCGGTCCCTGAAGGTGGGCAGCCGGTCATCGATGACCACATCCAGCCATTCACTGTGCTGCCAGAACTGTAGGCCAGGATAGAGACAGAAATCATGGGGGTGAGTCACAGGGGAGGGCCAGCCCCATCTGTACATGTTTATCACTTGGCTCTTTCTCCCTTGGATCAAACTGCCCTTATGGTCCTGCAGAAACTCACATGTGGCTTCCGTGATAGGGCCACATAGACTGTGTCCACTGAGCCACTGACTGAGCATCCATCCCACCAATGACATCCACTTGAAGACCCATGTAGACCCACCAAAGCCAGGGGCCAGTGGGACAGGGTGACACGTGGACACTGCCGGGTGGGCAGAGTTAGTTCTTTCTCACCAGGAGTGGGTGTAGTGTGGGGTTTGCTCTGCTGTTGCACAGCACAGTTCTCTATGTCCCCCTGTCAACCAGTTTCAGGGTGTCTCAGGTGTTCCTTCATCTTGAGTTCCCTCCTTGCCTGGGGGTGGAAACTCTAAGACCGATTTTTTTTTTGGTCACACATTTTTTTTCCACACACAGAGAGAGGCTGTAATGAGGCAGGTGGTCACTGGTGCAGGTGTGCAGACCTGAGGTGTGTGTGCATATGTTCTTATGTGCTTACACACGTGTCCATGTACATGTGTGCATGTGTTCACACGCATGTAGGCATGCATTTGCGTATTGCGTGCCTACATGTATGAGTGTGCGCATGTATGTGCTTGTGTGTGTGTGTGTGTGTGTGTGTGTGTTCCTTCTGTTCCTTCTCATCCAGTTGGCCCAAGAGAGATGCTAAGGTAAGAAGAAAGAGGGAAGCAGAAGGGCCTTGGGAGCTGTTTATTTCCAGCGTGGCTGGGGCATCCTGAGCGGCTCTATGTCAGTGATTCCACCCCAGTCAGACCAGGCCGCCCAGTGTCTGGCCCAGATTGTGTGTGTTTGAAGGAATACTCCCTTGGGCTCCCAGTGATGGGCTCTAAGGGGTGTGTTGGGAGGCAGCACAGTGTAGGACCTTACTACCACCTGCCCTAGCTGGATTCCCACTTGGGAGTTTCACCCTTCCAGCACAAGTCACTTCAGGCTTTCTTGGGGGCATTTGTGACTTCATGTTCCACGGAGGCACTGCCCGGGCCTCAGAGGTTCCTGAAGCAGGTGCAGGTTTGGGGAAGGTGGAGGTACAGGGGACAGAAGGGCATGCCTGCCTCATGCTGCCTCCTTCATAGGACCCCTTTTAGTTCTGCGAACCCCACAAGGTTGATGTCAGTCATTTTTCCAGGCAGCATGTGAAGGCTGGGCGTGCGAGGAAATCTGCCCAAGGTCACTCGCATAGGTATGGGGCAGGGCGGGTGTCAGTGTGTGCTCGGACCCCAGGCAGGGACTGCGGGGGGAGGAGAGGACCGGGGCTGGGGCTGTGAGAAAACCATAAACCAACTCCCAGGCAGGCTGTGCCCGGAGTGTGGCTCTGCGGGGGGGCCCACTGGGGTGACGTGTGTCCTCCCAGGGCCCCCAGGAGGTGATGTCTCAGTGCTTCTGTCCGTTTCTACTTCTTACGCTTACTCATATCTCCAAATCTGTATTTCTTTAATAGAGAGGATGTCCCAGTTTATGAGAAATAATCCAGTTCCTGGGAGATAGAATCTTTCTGGGCCATTTCCTCTAAAAGCACCACGTATTCCAAAGACGAAAACCCATTAATGTGGACCTCCAGACTTGCCGAAGTAGTGCTTGAAGCCTTACTGCCCACTTTCCGAAAGGGCTCACCACGGGATGCCTGTGCTGTCCTTCTAACGCACTCAGAGGCCATCCCTTGACACAACCTGGTTTGGGGTGCAGTTTTCACACATATAGTCAGATCTCTTCCAGGATTACCAAGCAGTTGAAGAGGCGCATGACGTCATGCTGGGCCCCAAAGAGCTAACTCCCCTGACCGGGCTCCCTCTTACCTGGAAGTGGAATATCCCAGCATAACCAGGTCCAAAGCTTTGGTCCTGGGGAACGACTCTGGCCAGAGCTTTTTCATTAAGTGTGAGGGAGGCAATGGCAGCTAATAGCCAGCAGTCGCCTGCAAAAGGAAAGCCATAAATCACCGTCTTCATTGCCAATTTACAGTGAATGGGAAACGCTATGCCAGAAGGAGAGGTGGGGCATTCCAGATGTGGCCACATCTTTTCTGCATTTCAGAAAATGGACAGAATGCCAACAAATGCTTCTGTCCTCCCCTTCTGCCTCCCTTCCTGGCTCTTCTATTGCCTGGTTTATCATGCACAGCTGTTGCCGTCTGGGCAATGTTATAGGATATGCTTACTTGAGTTTCAGACATATGCTCCATTATGCATCAGCTCTGTGCAGTTCCAGAGGCTTCCCTTCCAGAGGCCAAGGCTGCATACATTAGTATCAGCAGAGCTGGGCAAGTAGGCATTTCATAGCTGCAGCCCAAGAAATTGGGGGTCTTCAGAAATGGGGCACATGCCACTGGTTCCCAACACATCAGCTGCTCTTGGGCAGCCTGGGGTCCGGCTATGGGGAGATGCTAATGAGAAGGGACACAGAATATTTCAGAATCATTTGTTCATCAAACTTCACTGAGTGCCTCCCCGGTGGAGGTCCCTGCTCTCAGCTCTGGGGTGGTCAGGGTGGGTCAGAGTCTGGTGGAGGGGCCCCTTGATGTTGCCGACCTCCTCCCCATTCTTCTCCAAGTTATGGCTTTGCTCAATGTAGGACAGTGTGTTTCTTTTCCTAGAGTGAAGCAGCTTATGTCTATTCAGCCAGGAATGCCCTGAAGGGGTGGGGGCATTCAGAAGCCAGTGCCATTCATATCATTTAAACCAAAGGAAAGAAACTCAACCACAAAGTGATATTGCTTTCTCTTTCTGCTGGGCCAGTGTGGATGCATGGTATTGGTCATATCAGAGCTATGCCCAGAGAGGGTACCTCTGAAGGTCAGTTCATCAGGCAGCTGGGCGGATAATAGCATACAGCGGCCCACTAGCAGGAAGGGCAGGTGATGGTGTTGGTGGTGTTCTAGCTCTTATTTCGGGAGGCAGGTTCACAGTTGTTCATTTCATGGTTATCCTCCATAGCCTATACATACAATACGTACAATTACGTGCAATATTTAGAACTAATAAAAATACTACTAAGTGGAGCACCCGGGTGGATCAGTTGGTTAAGCAAGTCATAATCCCGGGGTCCTGGGATTGAGTCCCACATCGAGCTCCCTGCTCAGCAAGGAGTCTACCTCTCCTTCTCCATCTCCCTCTGCCTCTCCCCACTGCTTGTGCTCTCTCTTTCTCAAATAAATAAATAAAATCTTTTTTTAAGGTGTTACAAAATAATAGTTACAATCAACACCAACCAATGTTAAATATGCAGTTGTAGTTCCAAATAGATGTTTGCACTTATGCTACAAACCAAAAGAGCCTGTCCTATGCCTTTCTATTGAATAGCAAGGTAGGGTGGGGCAGTGAGGGGAGGCAGAGAAAGAGTTTGGGGGGAGAGATGAGAGAGGACATGAGGAAGGGGCAGGCAGAGTGTCCCAGAGAAGGCTTACCCCCAGCAAAGGAAGACCAATCTGAAGGTAATTTTTTTTTTCAAAAAGTCAAAGGGTGTGTAATTCTATCATCTATGCACAGTTGACCCTTGAACAACATGGGAGGAAGGGACACCAACCTCCCACCCCCACAGTCAGAAATCCATGGATAACTTTTGATTCTCCCAAAACTTAACAACCAGTAGCCTGCAACTGACCCGAGTCCTTACTGATAACATAAATAGGCAACTGACACAAGTTTTGTATGTTCTATGTGTTCTAAACTGCATTCCTGTAATAGAGTAAGCTAGCGAAAAGAAAATGTTCATAAGAAAATCATAAGGAAGAGGAAATCCTTTGATATAAGATTCTATGTTATCCAAAAAGAAATCCACATATAAGTGGGCCCATGTTCAAGGATCAACTGTGTCGTGGGTCAGTTGATCAATCAATTGATCTATTTATTATCAACTGTCATCACTCTAGGTTTGGGACTCTGGGCTCTGTGTTTGGAGTAGCTGGTTGGTGAGCACTGAGGCTACAGCATGACCCACAGCAACCATTAGACCCTAATGGTAACTCAGCTATAGGCCAGGCCTCATAAGCTTGTGGCTCTACTGGTGATTTTTTTTCTTTCTTTCTTTTTTTTTTTTTTATGTCTTTTTGTTTTCATAGATAAAATAAAGGTAACCTGGTTCAATTTTGGACTAAATCCTGAAATGCAAGACCCAATTTAATGGACTTGGGGGCACACTCAGGCAAATTTTAGGAAGGAGATTGTGAAGCTCCTGGGGGGAGTCCCCAGAGTCTGAGCCCCTGGGGGGCATTATGGCCTAATGGTTAAGAGCAAGTTCAGATCCTGACTGCCTAGCTATCACTCCTGTGACTTAGGTTACTCAGCCTCCCTCAACTTTCATTTCTCATCTGTAAAATCAGAAGGGTGACTGGGAAGATGACCCAGTGACCAAGTTAATGCATGAAAGTTATTAGCTGTGTCATGGTACAGGGAGCCAGACCAGCACCGCTGGGTATCTCCATTGTCTGTGAACTTCTGAGCCTCACACAGCAAGCACATCCACCCCCAGGAGATCAAGAGTGCAAAGAGCCTGGGGTCCACTGGGCTCCATCTGGGAGAGCAGACTGGCAGACTGGGAGAGGGGAGAGGAGGAAGTAGCGGGTGGTAGCAGCAATGTTCCCCCAAACCCTGTCATCGTGGGCTTCCAGAGGTCCCATCCTGCTCTTGCCATGGTGGCAGCTCAGAGGCCCTATCCTGCTGGCCCCTAGGGGTGCCTTTCCAACCCCCCTCTCTCCATGCTCCATCCCCTCACACTTACCAAGCTCCCCCTGGCAGATATCTGTCCTGGTGGCCCCTCCAAGAATGAATTCTGGGTTTTTCACTATTTCCTGGAAGAAAAAAGGCGTTACTGGGCCAGTGTGATTGAAGCGGGCTCATAGTCTCTCTCCTTTCTGGGAGCAGAAGGCTTTCTTCTTGTATTTGATTCTGTTTCTGTGAAGCGATGCCACACACTCAGGCCATTCTCTGGCAGATGGCACCACCACCCCCTAGGGAGATCCTGCCTTCTGGGCAGCCCCTCAGTGCAGTCCTCTGGCCAAACAACTTCTGCCTGACTACAAAGGAGGACCATGAACTGAAAATTCTCATTGCCACCCAGGCCCTTGAGCTAGCAGTCAGGGCTGGGGGCAGGGGGACGGGGGCATAATTTCTCTGTTTAGGGGCATTTTTCCTTCTATGGGCTTCAAATTTCTCATCTTAAAATGAGGTAATACACACACCACAGACCAGTGCTTAGGATTAAATACAAACTTACCCTTACCCACCCAACTTCTTTTTTAAAATAAACATTGTGCATATATATACACATACATATATACCTATATATAGACACTATATCGTGAGATATAAGTGCACATACCTCTCATGTAACTTTACCTCAATGCATTACATATATTTTATTCTGTATTACACATAATTATATTATTATAGACCATAAACAAGTGAACGGACATACAAGTTCAGGAGTGGTAAGTACCAGGGTAGATAGTGATAGGGTGAGATGGAGGCTATTTTAGCTGGAGCAGTCAAGGAGGGCCTCTCAGGGAAGCACATAGTTGAGAGTCATGTGAGGGTCCAGGGAGAAAAAACAACAAATCGTGAGACATAGAGGAAAGTTCTGGCACACAGTGTCGATGCTCGGTCATTTTAATAGGATCTGGACTCAGGCTGAGTCAGGGATTCTTCTCAAATATTTCTCAAAACAGGACTGGAGGCAGAAGTCCTCATCAGTACCTGGGTGGATGCCACAAGCTCTGCCTTGAATGGTCTCCCTCAAGCTCCCCAGAACCCTACTTCTCTTCTGGTCTGTGTCAGCGGGGGGATGGGGGCCAATCTCCTGGCTGGCCCATGCAGACACTCTCACACTGCTCTCCCCATCCTGTGAGTCCGGCTCCTCGGGGTGTTTGCAGGTGGCTCTGAGCCATGCCCCTGGGAAGGTGCAAACCGGGAAAATATGCTCTCCACAGGAGTCCTCCCTGATCAACAGAGGGGCTCTGGGCAGGCCATCCAGCTTCTGAACCAGGCTTTGTTTCCATGTGTCATATGAGACATAGACCACCTTTCTCCATCTTGGACATTTAGGGATAGGTGCACAATGTGCATTGGAGCCCCTTCCCCAAAGAACACCCCAGTAGTTCCCACAATGCTCCATACACAGCCAGCCTCTATCAGGGGAGCACTGTAGGGCTCTAGCCAGCAAAACTCCAACCCCAGGGCCCTCATCCCTATATGGACATAAAATGGACTCTGAAGGCTGGCAGATCCTGCTTGGTGGGCTATGACAGACGCTGGGCCTCCCAGGGGTCAGATGGGCTGTAGGCGAGGAGGCCCCTGGCTCCCCCTCACAGCCCTTCCCTCCCCCGCCTTCAGCTGGCCCATCCTGCCAACTGTGCCGGCAGATGCCACTGCCTCTCAGCTACATCTTGCAGTTAGTTGTTTCTGTCCAAGAGAGTTTTATCAAATTGCATCGAACTGGATGGATGGAGAAAAATACAAAAAGAGAAAACTCAGAAGCTCTCATGAAGTGAACAGGAATTAGCCATCCAGGTGAATTGGTGAGATCTGCGATGCATGGCTGATGCATGGGCCCATCCAGTGTTCCTGGGTGTCGGTGAATCCACGAGCCATCCCGGGGTTTCTGTGAATGTGCGAGCAGGAGGGGTGGCTGCGCTGCCCCGGGCCATGTGGCCGCATATGCTGACAGATGCAGGTCTCACATGTGGGGAGCCTGTGACTTGTGTAGGTGTGCATGTGTATGGTCCATGCATATGTCTCCCAGGTATACTGGTAAGAGCATTGCATTTGTGCCTGGGCGTCTGTGTGTGTGTGTGTGGGGGGGGGGGCAGAGGTATGTGTGTTCTTGTGAAATGCTGTCTGGGGCCTTGAGGAAGAGGGTTACCCATTACAGTCATATGACAGGAAGACCAGAAGAGTCTGGACAAACCCGAAGTGAACCCAGACTGAGACTGGGGTGGCTGGGGATGGAGGCAGGAGGTCCGAGGCCAGGCGTCCTGGCATGCTAGCTCCTGGGTCTATTCTGTTCACTTTGTACAGCATCAGGGGCTCAGCCATGCTTGTAGACTTTTCTTTACTTAGTAATTACATTGAGGGGAGAAGAATCACATTTCTAACAGGTTTGAAGAGGCTGGGCCCTATGATTGACAGCTGTGTGCTACTCGAGGCCTTGAAGGCACATGCCACTGGGGTCACTTGCCACTGTGTACACAGGCTACCAGAGGGCTGTCGGCCTTGACATCTTCAGCAAAGAGGTATCCCGGGTGAGAAATTAGGGAAGGAATTGCACAGAAGAAAGTGGATGGATGCAGGCAGACGGGGAGTGGGGGAGAAAAAGGTCGAAGGAAGCCCTTCTGAGCTGAAGAAGTCAGGCTTCGGGCCCAGGAAATCAGGCCCTTGGCTGGACTGCACCCCGGCTGCTGTACCCCAGACCTGCTCCTCCCCACTCTGACACACGGCCCTTTCCAAGAGGCCCACTGCAGGTGATTTCACCTCTCCAGGCAGAGCCTTTCACCCCACCCCGCTGCAGGCCCCCAGGTGATCCCCCTCAATGCCCGCCTTGCCCTGGGCTCCCTGGAGGGCCAGCCTGGCTGCCTGGGGCCCTCTGATGTCCCCCTGACTTTTCAGAGAACGGCTGCTCAGGTGCTCACTTCACACCCCGCCCCGCCCACAAGCACAGCTGTGTTTGACAAGAAGGTGGTGCTGGGGAGGGCACCCTGCCCCACGGTCCGGCCCCACTGGGCAGCTCTGCACTTGCTGTCTGAACACGCACCACCTAGGTGCCCAACACCAGTGCAAGCAGCACCCAAGCCACAAAGGCCTTCTGGAGGGACGCTGGCAACTCTTACCATCATCCCTCCCACCAGCCCACCCCCATACCAGGGACCCTGGACCTCAGTCCTCAAAGCTCCCCCCTCCCGCCCCAGCCCCTTGCTCCCGATTTCACAGAAGCCTGTAAGAGGTCTGCAAAACCCCCAGCCCCCGGACAGCAAACAGCTCGGTGTGTTCCTGGGGGGAGGACAGAAGGGACAGCGTCAGTTGCAGGCAAAGCGAGAGGCAGAGCAAATTCAGAGAATGAATCCCTAGGAAGGAGAGCAACAGTGGGCCCGAGTTAAGGTAATAAAGAAATTGTTCTGCCTTTGGCCGAGGGTAGGGGACCCGAGTGGGTGGCGGCCCCACCCATCATTTGGGGCAACCCCGAGAGATCAGTGGTGACGAGGAGCACCTCCTAGAGCTGAGATGAGGAACTCTGGCATCCCTCGGAGGTCCCGGGGCCCCTGTTACCCTCCACCCGTGCCAACAAGGCATTCTCCACCCGGGCCTGTGTGCCTCGAGGTTTTATGTTGCAGAAATTCCAATTTTGGCAAAGAAGGTGACTTGTATGCGGCAGAGTTACACGTTAGGTCAGGAGGTGGCGGTGCAGACCCCAAGGGCAGGGCGCTCTCCTCCCCCCGGGGATGCTGATGCGTCGGGTTACAATTCCAGTGGCGGCAACCGCAGTCACGGAGGCATATTTAAGGCTCTTTTCTGCATGCTCTACACGTCCACGCAGTCATTCCTGCAACAGCCCTACAAGGGAGGTGGCATTATGACCCCCTTTTGGGGTGTGCAGCTCAGGCCCCCTAGCAGTGGGGATTGGCTGTTCCCTCTGGAGAGGGTGCGAAAAAGATCTCTTCTAAGATCCTGGCTTTCAGGGGTACCGTGTCTGGCGACTCAGCGGTGAGGGGCACAGACACGGGTGACCTGGTCTCCCCGACACAAGGCAACTGAAGGCCCCTTCCGGCTCCAGAGTGCCCCCTGTAACTGGAGGAGGCTTTCATGGGGCCACATCATAGCCCGGAGGCTCCTGCTCCCTGTTTGTCCACAGGTATTGATCCTGAGAGCACCTGTGATCACCTGCTAAATGTCCTGCAGGCACTATTTGTGTGGGGTCTGAAGAGGACATGTAGCCACCGTTGGTGGTGTCACTCGGAGGTGACACCCATAAGGGTAATCATGACAGCAGCTGCTATTTACTGCAGCCTCTTGCTGGATGTTGGATCTACATTGGTCATTACTGTTCCCACCTCACGGGTGAGAGGACTGAGGTTTGGAGAAGTTAAGTGGCAGGACCACAGTCTTGGGACAAGTCAGCAGTAGGGTGGGACCGGCACTCATGGCCTCACCTTTTGTCCAGCCCTCTTTGCACTCTCCTTGTCCATAGCAACCTGTCCCCAGAGGAGCCGCCCCCCAGGGCCAGTCCCCACCTAGAAGGAATGACAGCCCGCAGCCCCCGGGCGAAGGTCAAGGCCTGGCTAACCCAGCACAGCAAATATTGACTCCTTGTGTGAGGCACCAGCTGGCACCCCTGGAGCCCATCACCTCCAGACTGTTGGGGGTGGGGCAGCGGGGACCCTGGCCTCCCTCTGGGAAATGAGACGAGTGGTTTGGGCAGAGGAGCCCTGCTTCCTGAGGGTTCCATCCATCACATGCGCACTGAGCACTTGCTGCATGAATGTCCATCCACGGTGAGCATCCTGGGCTGCAGCCAGAAGCGAAGGGACAGTCCACATGCATCCCAGCGGCATCCACACTTGGACGAGACTGCCTCCCACCCAGCTCTGCATGTTTGCCTTGGGTTCCCGTAGAATGTGTCACCAGACACTTGTCTTAGATAAGCCTTGACTCCCACTCACCACTTACAGACAAGCCCCTCTCTAGCTCCAGGTCCCAGTCCCAGGCTCACCTTGGTGGGAGTCAGACAGCTGAGGGTGGGGTGTAGCCAGGCACCCTGGGCACGGCCCCGGAGCATCCCTGGCCTGCTGGTGTTTGCCCCCTGTGGGGCATTCTCTGTGCAAACTGCACAGCATCTCAACAGTACGCTTGGCCGACGTGCCCGGCAGATGCGTCTGTGTACAACCCCCACCCCCAGACCCTCCTCTCCTTGCACCCCCTGCGGGGCTGCTGGGTCCACACCCCTGCCTGCCGTTCCCACCACTTTCTCTTGCACTCACCCCTGGCCTTTTCCACACGAAGGGGATCTGGGGTCTCTCGCTATAGAAGAGAGAGGAGCTGTTGGCTGGGAAGTCTGGATCCTCAAACAGGATGCCCTTCTGCACGCACTCCTGCCTCAGCTGCTCAAAGCTCTGGCCTGAGGAGTGGGTGATGCGGGCGTCCTTGGGAACCAGGTGCTTCTGGGGCCCTGGGGCCCGATACAGGTAAGGCATGGCCGGTCCCCTGGTGGTAGCCCCTGGTCAGCGATAGGTGGGAAAAAGCAAGACGAGTGTGCTAGTCAAGGAGCCAGCTCAGAAAAACCTGGGCTCAGTGGCCCTTGGCCTCTTCCTGTTTGCCTGGGAACCTCCCTGTTAAGACTAGTGAGGCACGCCCTGATGGCAAACTGTAGAGAGAGCTCTCTGCCCTCCCAGGGGCTCCTGCAGACCCAGGGGAACACTGAGCCTGGGCCGATTCTGGGCAGAGGCAGCAAACTCTGCTTAATGCCATGAGAGAGGATTGCTTTACAGGGAAAGAGAACAAGAAACCAAATTGGCCCTGGAGGCGGCGGGCAGCGTTCGCTTTGCAGGAGGAGATGCACTGTGTGTTCTTGAATCACGTCTGAAGGCAGAGAGCTGCAGGGTTTTGTAGTTGGAAGGGAGCCTAGTGAGCCGTCGTGGCCCCTACGACCTGACCAGAGCTTACCCCGCTCTCTCTCAGACTCCCTCATTCTGATTTAGAGCAGGGTCAGCAAACTTCTCCTGTAAAGAGCCAGCTAGTCAATACTTTTGGTTCTGTGGGCCATATGGTCTGTGTTGCAAATACTCAGTTTGGGGGGTTGAGCATGAAAGCAGCCGTGGACACTATGTGATGAATCAGCATGGCTGTGTGCCAATAAAACTTTATTTACAAGAGCAGATGGGGGCCGGATGTCGTCCAGCCAGAATTTGGTGACTGGCTTGATACAGGCGTGCTCACAGAGGGCATCAGCTCCTCCTCCCCGCACAGGTGCCTCCGTTCTCCAACCTTCCTGGCAGCAGGTGTCAGGAAAACATTTGCAAAAACAAATATCATATTAATACAATTCCATGTCCTGTAGACTCTACAAACAACATTTCACATCTGAGCAGAAAGGAAGTTCAGGGGTTGGAGGCAGTTTAATAAAAATATTACCCGCCGTGTGAAGCCCCTGGTCTTCTAAGGACTTTGCAACGATTTCTCTGCGCTTCTCCAACTGGTCGCAGTGGCTGCTGGAGTCGCAGGGCCTCGAGTTAGTGGGTGTAGTGAAAAGCCTATGACGTGAGTTTTTTGAGGACCTCTCAGTTCCCAGGAATGTCCATTTAATTCTACGCACTTTCCGTCGAGTGGGTCCTGCATATTGTTTTGCAGGGAATGTGTAGACATCATAGTTGGTGACATCTGGGTTGAGCTCCCAGTTTTGCCAGGAGTGACCTTGGGCAAACAGTCTGTGCCTATTTCCTCACGTGAGTCAGGACAACAGGGTCTCCCAGGGCTGCAGGGGGATTATGGGATCGAAGCAGCTTGCGGAGCCTGGCATATATGTAGGATCAGGAGCTGCAGGTTCATCCCACCTGTCCTGTCCTCTCTGTCCCCTGCCCCATACCACAGACATAGGCTCTCACGAGCCTCCTTTGTTGTGTCTCTTTATCCGCACAATACGGGGTCAGGAATGATTCTGTGCTAGAAACGGTGTTGTTGGCCGAGTCCTGGGTCCCGCTGCCCTGCAGACAGCTCTATTTAGATGTGATTAAGGACAAGAGCCAGGGAGACAGATGTGACAGCATGAGGGCCATCCATTTCTGGATCATTTCAAGGCAATGATCACCAGCCCAGGTTTCTGAGAGTTTCCCCTTCAGATGCCCCAGCAAGGGGGGAAAGGAAGCCTGAAGTGAGATTCAATGCTGGGGAGAGTGGTGAAGGTCCCCTTCCTGTTGGACCCTTCCCAAGCGCCATGAGGCTGTGTCCTTATTCCGTTCCCATAACAAACCCCTCTCTGGGCAGGAGTCTCTTCACCTGGTCTCTCCTAAATGGAATGGAAGAAGCAGTCCTTTCTTCTGGAAGCCTATTTTAGTGACTGGGAACTCATAGACAGCATTGCCATTAGTGACTCCTGCAAAACGCCTCCGAGTGAGAAATACACTGTCGGGGCTCACCTTGCACCCTGCTCCCCACGACCATGGTGCCAGCGTGGGAGACAGGACAGCAGCCAGGACCCTGTCTGAGTGCTCCCGCCACCTGCTCGACCCTCCCAGTCCCGTCCCAAGGGACGTGTCATGCAGGCCTCAGTGCCCCGGACTTAGGGCTGCATCAGAGCCCCCCTGAGCCCGCACCCAGCTCAACCTGACCCTGAGGACAAGGTACAGGCCCCCTGGCTGGGTGATGTTCCAACCAATGTGTCAGGAAAGCAGATATTGTTCTTGAGCCTCTCGGTTTAATTTTCTAAATCTTCACTTCTTCTCAGCGTAGAAACTGGCTGGAGGAACGTCAGCCACATCTGGAGGTCTGGAGGCCCTGCACACCTCCTCCATGCAGGCCCTCACTCACCCTAGGAAATGCTCTGGACACCTCGGAAGGGAAGGTCTGTGGGTTTGCTCATGGGAATGGGGTGCATTTCTTGTAATAAAGTCTGCTTATCACCAGCCTAGAGAGAGACGTGGGTGGCTTCGAGCCCTGTGAGCCTCAGGGGGCCCATTTATCATTTGAGCTGTATTTCCTTCCTCTTGACAGAACAATCTGCTGAAGTGAATTCTAAATTAATTGGTCCTTACCAGGGCCTCAAAGGGCCTACTAGTCCTTTCCCTCCACACCCTTGGCCTGTGCTGAACATGCTTTTTTTTTTCCTTTCTCCATGGGAAGCCCAGGTGTGTTTGTGTGCGGGGCAGAGGGATGCAAGGATCATGCCTGGGATGGCCTGTGATGCGTGGGGGCAAAACTCAGGAACCCACGGTCTGACCCCTTCCCTAGCTGCAGCCACTTTGTCCTAGGACTCGAGTGGACTTGGACGCTATAGTGGGGCAGACTGACTCATCCATCACCACGTCTTGCCAAGCACGCAAAACAGAGCTGATCCCGGGAAAGGGATGGTTCTGTTTTTCGTGCCCTGCTCAGCAGTGGTGGATGCTGCTTGTGGAGAATGGGTGGAGGAAGATCCCAGAGGGCAGGGGAGCCAGGGCGCATGCCCAGGTGTCCAGGTGTGCGGGGCCACGGCTTAGGCCAGGTGTGGTAGGAGAGCAGACGAGAAGGGACAGAGTCTCTTCGCAGATTACTGTCGGGGCCTCCTCGTGGGGTGCTAGGATGGGGCTTTCTGGTACAAGGACGGTTGAAGGATAGACCTGGAAGTTCAAAACTTTGCTAGGTTGGGATGAAAATGCTCTTCTTGCTGCTGCTGGGAGGATAGAGTGTTAACTATTGTAGCTTTTTTGGAGAGCAGTTTATTATAAATCTATCAAAATTACAAACGCTCAGATGCTCAGACCACCCCACCCCCACCCCAGAGCCAGCTGTTTCCTCCTAGCAACTTCTATAAACCTGCACCCCTGAAAAGTGAAAGATGTGCAAGCTTATTCATTTCACTGCAGCATTATTCACTTTAGAAAAAGGTTGAGAAGCACTCAGGGCCCACTATTAGAGGCCAGGATCAAAAATGAGGGCCCAGCCAACCATGCAACAGGACACGGTGCAGCCGCAGACCGGAACGGGGAGACTCCGCCGTGACACTGATGTTTGAGTGAAAGGTCCACGTGCAGCGTGGCGTGCTGCACCACGGCGTGGAGTCCGCCACCATTTGTGGAGAAAGGGGGAAGAGGGTATGTATTTCTAGCTGCATAAGAAGCTCTTGGAAAATGCATGAGGCATTAACAAGAGGGTCCCCTCCCCTGGGGATAGACTGAAAAAGCAGAGGCTAAGATGTCAGGGAGACTTGTCTAGCTGCCTTTTTATAGCTCTTTAATATTTGTAGCCTTTTGCACGTAGTTGGTTGAATTTCTAAGTTTGAGATGCCCAGGAGATGGCCAAAGTGGACGTCAAGTGGGCGGCTGGACAGCGAGCAGGGATGCAGAAGTGGAGGCCCTGGCCCGTGAATGCCCCCATCCCCCTCCCTGGTAGCTCCCTGCAGCTACCAGTCCCTCTAGCTGCAGGAGCCTGGGGTGCTCCCTCCCCTCAGCATAGAGTGCTCTCCACTTCCCCTCTCAGCTCTCCTCACAACTCCCCTCATACTTGAGTCCTGTGCCCCAGCATGTGACACCCACAGTGAGTGCGAAGGGGCTTCTGCAGTCAGTGCTGGAGGGGGGTGAGAGGGTCCCACATGTGCAGAAATGGAATTCCCTCTCTTCTGGTGCCTTCACCCCCCCGGGCCTCGGGACCTCAAACTGCATGAGCACACAGTTATCCTGTCCCTCTCCAGGGCTTTCTAGCACAGGGAGCTTGCAGCCAGTCACTGGCTTAGTGACTCTTTCAGGCCAAAGCAGAGTCCTCTTGAGGTAAGCACTGTCTCCAGTGTCTCTGCCCCTGTCTCCTTTTCGGACACAGGGAGATGGGCCTCCATGGTGCCAGAACCAGGCCAGATGTCCCCAAGTCTTCTGGCCTCCGGTGGATCTGTCCTTCTCCCCTGACCCCAGAGAGCTTTCTTTCTAAGGTGGGAGTGACCCTTGTGCCACCAGAGATTCTTAAAAGTCTAGCTTGAAGTTCAAAGCTCAGCAGTGATGTCTTTGTTCTAGAGAGGCTCTGTCCTCCGTCCCTGCATCTCACCCCCCAAGAAGTCCGTGTGCTTGCAAAGGAGGTTCAAGAGTGGTGCTCATGAGTGCCACCCCATTTCCTGGAAGGCAGGAGCTAGTGCTCCCTCTGTTATTTCCCAGGTTCACGCTGGGAAGCCCAGGTACCCGGTGAGACTCTCACTTCCTCCCCAAGGATGAGTCCTCCCCAGAACAGCCCCCATTCCACACCCCTCTTCCCCAGTGGGGCGTCGGCCTCCCATTGGTAGGGATGAGCCTCCTGTCAGCATCACATCATGGGGCAGGAGGTCATCCTCAGGCACTCAGCCCAGACCTTCCCCAGACACCCTGCCCAGTTTCTGACTGCGGAGAGGTTCCAGCTTGGAGACACACACTCATCAGCGACCTAATGGATCCTTCTCCGTTTCCCAGAACTGCTCAAGCTGCCTAGGCTTCCTTCAGCTGCCGGCTTGCTTTCTGGCTCAACTGTGGAATATAGTTTCCTC